TACAATTTTACTTTTATTACAATGTATTTGTAATTTCAGCTAACGATGCTGGTGAAAATGTAATTCAAATTGATCCCAAGTCTAACAGGGGCTGGTGTCTGAAACACATGTCAAAACGAGTGGAGCATTGACTATCACAATACTTTAAATCCAGGATCTCTAAGTGAATAAAACACTGCACTCTGCAAGGCAGTGTGATTCTAGATACGGCTATAAGCTTGGGAGAGAGGTCAACGCAGTACACTCTGAACATAGCCACAATCGTGAATTTAGATGCACTGGCAACTCTTCGTGTGGTGCAACAAACACCGGTGATGCACTAAAATTTAAATGCATCCCGCCAGGATAGCACAGGCTACGAGGTGACCAGGAGATGGTGGTATGCCAAAGGATTCCTCAATCTATCTGTGTGGAGTTTTGAGAGTGATACCACCACATACGCATGACAGGTTCCGGTTCCTCTGGTTACCTCCAAATACCAAAGACTGTTGAGCTGAACTGAAAATATTCGGAACTGAACTGAAAATAAATTGAGCTGTTCAATTTGTAACGACGAGGAGAGGTATTTGGAGGTTGGCTTTCATCGATTAGAAATTATGAATAAAAAAAAGCTCCTGGGATGTGGAGCAAAACGTCGGATATCATGCTGAACACCACATTGCAATGTGGCAGGACCCTCCTGACAAAGGGCCACGAGACTCAGAGAGGCACTTTAAATAAAGCGCATCAGTACTATTATGATCCTCTCGCCGCGCGCCATCACGTGGGCCCGAGCAACGCACCCTGTGCTGCCATCGGAGCCCTCGACGATGAAGCCGAAGCGGTCGATCTGTGGCGCCTCCACCCCGTTCATGGCGCCCCCGGTCCTCGCCGCAGCTGGCCCGTCCCTGCTGCCGTTCCCACGCGCCGTCACTCCCCGCCCCGCGCTCGCCATATCGGACCCAGGCTCGTCGATGTCGCCGTCAGCACCGCCGCCACCATCGTCAGTTCAGCGGCGTGGCCCCCGGAAGAGACGCGGGCTCGTGGCAAAGTCAGGACGGTGGCGGCGGTGGCGCCATCCGTCCGGAGGGGCCGTTCGCAGCGAGGTCACGAATAGCGCCGGCGAAACTCTGGAACGACGAGGAACGGCGGTTAGAAGCGGCGGCACAACTTTTGGCTCTCACCGGTTATAAACAATAACTTTAAGCATTCAATGTTCATTGTTGGTGGTCTGAGGTTAGTACATGACTAGTAGACACAGCCTTAGCAAAGAGGTTGGATGTGGTGTGCCAGGTCTGGCAATATTTTCTGGGATGCTGACTCAAACAGATCTGGCTACAATTTTGTCCAGGTTGTATATCAATACATGGTAACGAAGGCAAAGTGTTACACACAAATAAAATACTAAAGACGAACATCAGCTTAATATTTTAAATAAAGCCTGACACACATGACTGAAGCACCTTCCCCCTCTGCCCTGTACCATTCTGTTCCTCTTTCCTGCCACTCTCTGAAAAAATATATGAAAACAATCCCTATTTTTAAAAAATTATATCGCACCTCTTGGCTCTGACATTCCTCGAAGAAACTCGTGTAACCATCAACAACCGCATAAGAACATCAAGAGGCCGATGCGCAACATCTTCTTCGTGCGATTGTGTCCGTGCGAACCCAAAGTATGCACCATACAGTAAGCCGCTGTAGTCTGCATTTCTTCAACGGACTAATAGCAAAATTACACGCAATTAATCGATAATGTACAGTACAGGTATGAGAAAATGCACACACTAAATGGCACTTACTTCATAACGTGTGTCGTGGCGTGAACATTGCATTTACAATAAACACGTTGGGTCAACAAGCCAATTCACAAACAAGCCAATTCACAAACACGTTGGGTCAACAAGCCAATTCACAAACATAAACACCACACCCACCAATTCACGCTCTCAAACGCCATCAACATCACCGCCACAACCTTTGACCCACGAACACCATCACCGCGAGCGGTAACATCACCGCACAGCAGCAGCAACAACATCATCATCAACAACACCACCACCAATCATCACAGCCACACACCACCGGCGAACCACGCATGCACAAACAAACAACCGCCATCACGGCAACCAACGCCGCTGGATTTCGCCGCCCATGGCCGCCCCGCGCTCTCTTCCCGAATCGGGCCCCGTGACCGCCGCCTCTACGGGCTGGGTCTTGTGGGGCTCGGCGAGCTCGAGGAGCGTTACGAGGTTGGCCTCACGAAGTCGGCTTCACTCGCCTGGCTCTACCGCTACGTGCGTGGTCGCTCAGGCATCTGGGCACCCCCCCCACCCCCTCCGGTCAACCCTTGTTCGGTCTCCATCTCGTATCACCCCGGATCATCCCTGGTCATCCCTGGTCATGTCTATCCACCCCAAGTCACCCCCCCTCCCACGCTATCCTTCATTGGGTCTCTGTATCCCTAAGTGCCTCTTAATCATTCCTGGTCAGGTGTCTTCATTCCAGAGTACCCCGAGCCAGACGTGCTCAGCTCGCCTAGTGACTCTTCAATCATCACTGTCGACTCGCGGTTGAGGTTTCTCAGCTCGGCAGCTCTGGCCAGTCACACACACACACCTCGTCACCCTTCCTCACCCCCTGCTGAGCTACCTTCCCCACCGTCCACCCCGTGTCAGTTCTCAATCCCCACAATCAGCGCGGATAAGCCCCTTAAGCTGTTCACTCCTAGTCACCCCTTGGTGAAGCGACTCCCCCGCTCCACGCTTACTCACCGTTAACAATACAAACTTCTCTACCCATGTCCACCCCCATCGTCACCGGGACAGCTTCCTGACGCCCTCCCTGCCGAACCCCCGGTGGTGCTTCCCTGGTCCTCTACCCTCGCCTCCTCCCCACTCACCTGTCTCGGTACGGAACCCCCGCTTGTGTGCGTCCCCACACTCCCGCTGGTATAACAGCGCGCGACAGCAAACGACCAAGAAGCCTCGCGAGAGCGGCAGAGGTTTATTCCCTTGAGAGGGAGCGGAGGGCCGGCGGGTAGAAGTAGGCGAGAGGAAAATTCCCCGGGAGCGAAGGAATCCCGACGGGAATCGGCGAGGCCCACGCCGCTGCGCCGCTGTCCAACAGTGGCGGCCGCAACCTCCTCCACCACCCCCCACCCCCCACCAACAAGCACGAGGACACCGCGCATGCGCACCCAGAACTATGAACGCCTCCGATTGGCTACAGCCGTTGGACCAATGGGGGCGCGTGCTCGCGTTGAGGTCCCCCCCCCACCACCACCACCTCCCGGAGGCCATCTTACTCAAGGGAAGGTTAGAGTGGCACGTTGCGATTTAAACGTCCAGTTTAACACGTGGTGGTGGTTGGAGGCTTTCGCGAGCAGTATCATTCATAATATAGGGGTTTTTTGGGGGTTAGATCGCCACCACCCGACACGGCCAATTAGGTTTGTAACGTAAACAAAACGTGCCAATTCGTTACGAGTACAGCACACCGGTGTGTTGGATAGCAAATCCACAAACATTTACAATTGGCTGTGTCGGGTGGTGGCGGGTTTAACGACATCTATATTCACGAAACCTAACACAAACTCGTATTATGGATATTGGTCGCGAAAGCCTACTACTACGTGTTACACTAACACTCAAACAAGTTAATAGTATCCATAATAAAGGTTTTTGGGTTAGATCGCGTTTATTTATAAATGTGTCGTAACCCTCCACCACCCGACACGGCCAATCAGCAAACACACCGGTGGGCTAAAGTAGTGAATTATTTGTCTTTTGTCAACGTGACACTTTTTTGCTGATTGGCCGTGTCGGGTGGTGGAGGGTTACGACACATTTATAAATAAACGCGATCTAACCCAAAAACCTTTATTATGAATAATATTGGTCGCGAAAGCCTACGTGTTAAACCAAGTTAATAGTATAGTTTTGGGTTAGATTGCGTAAATGTGTCGTTCAACCCGCCACCACCCATTAGTAAGGTTTGTCACTCAGAATGTAAATGTTGTGGATTTGCTCTCCAACACACCGGTGTTGCTGTACTAGTAACGAATTGGGATGTTCTGTTTACGTGACAAACCTTACTAATTGTCTGTGTCGGGTGGTGTCGGGTTTAACGACACATTTATATTTACGCGATCAACCCCAAAAAACCTACGTTATGGATTAAACAATGAGGTCGATGGGACCCCGCAGTGTAAAACAGCTTTATAGCTTATCGGATTCATCCGCTATAAATATTAATTTTTTCTTACAGTTTCAAAATGATGAAAAAAATAATAGGCTTTTACACTTTGTCGCAATAAAACAGGTGTTAAATAGGTGTTAAGATGTTCAAATACCAACTAATATTTTTTTGTCATTAAACAGTACAGTAAAACAAAGTATGAATAATATAGTTTAAAGACCATAATACGTTTAAGAAAAAAGACCCCCAAAGTGACAACTTCCCGAACTTGTTTATTCTTAAAAGTCCCAAAAACTTTTTTGGAATGTAACCTCAGTTTTAGAATAGGTGTAACTGCCAAGGATTGGGTCATAACGTAACGTATGTTACGTCGAACCTGTTGTATTATATAATAAATTTTCTGCAATTAAATACTTGACACAAAAATAGGCACTATTTAAAATAATACCACTTGGTGACCAACCTAGAGCGAGACAAATGTGCACTTGTAATACAGTACAGTAGTTATATTACACAATTTATATTGTCCCTAGTTTAAACTTCAATTTATTGGTCAGGAGGGAGTCACATTGAGTTAGGAATAGATTAATCAATACAAGAATGAATAGTAGCTGCACTTTTCAAAGCAATACCATTATTTATCTTGTGAGTGGGGGTTTAGCCATATTTACTACGATCTCGCACCTCTACGTACAGTGCGAAATAAGTTCACCATACAGTAATGTGCATACATACGATCCCCATAAGCAAACATTCACAGGGACGGAGGGCCGACAAAAGCCCCTGCCCAGGTGGGGTGTAAATGCCAATGAACGCACAACTTGAGTCATAAAATCAATTTATGCAGTGTCTCTCTGTTAACGGTTACATATAAATCAGCTACATTGGACAACAAAAAAATACAAATCGCAACAAAAACATATCATGGTTTATACAAGTGCAAACTCATTATTCTTGGAATAAACAAACATTAGAAATACTACTTGTCAATACAGCAACCACGCACAGTTTAAAGAATCCGAGTGTTAGTTGCGTAAGTCTTCTCTGCCTGGCACTTCAAATACAGCAACTACCGGCCGTCAACCCAAGAAGTTGCTTCAAACAATACCTGCACTCACTGACAGTGGCTCCAGCCATAGTTTGCTCTTTTACAAAGCTACCGGGTTGACATATTAGCAGCTGAAAATATAAACAGAACTCCTTTCTATCTCCACATACGGGATATATAACAGTTGAGTACATCAGGTCAAAACCGGTCCGGTTTTCTTCAACAAATAATACTTGATATTGTCTGCAACGCCAAGAGGCTGATGGACTAAAACTAGTTTATATATGTGAAGACAGAACGGAATTCTATTTGTGCTTTAACCCAAGAGTGCAACATAGTTTGTGTACGAACATTGTTTGCCAGTTACATTGGAATAGAACCATTTTCAGAGCATTAGTGCGAATGAGATCGTATCTTGTTGACACATACAGCCTTTTGTTAATCCACAGCTGAAGGCCCTCCCCATGCCATGCAAATTGTTGGAGGTTCTTTTACCATACTTTACCACGCTGGTCAAAGGGGGTTGGCGAGAGACGGGGGGCAAAGAAGTAGCAGCATACAAGTACAGGCTCATCGACCATTTTGTTGCCTGCCCAGCAGCGTAGCCCAGCAGCCCATAACACACTATGTATGGTGGTCAGATGGGCGAGATTTCGCAATTACAGAATTAAAAAAATTAGTTTCTTTGGGTTGACGTAGGGAGTTCATATTTCTGCAGAACAGTTCATCGGCGAGGGGAGGTGGTTAGGAGGGGAGTAGGGTAGGGTGGTCCCTCCTTGAGCCAAGGCTTATCTCACCATTTCAGCCATCTGCAAAATGTGCGACCTTCATCAATAACACAAAAACAAAGTTTATTTATAACATTTACCCACGTCACCCTGAAGATGACAATCACAAAATATTTTCAGAATTTTTAAGATGGAGCAGCATTTCTAGAGTGGGGGGGATACATCACAGTGCAGTGCAGCCCACCCTCGGCTATCGGTGGTGTGCCTCCCCAGCAGACTGATGATCCCCCCACAGGCGATGGTAGCCAGAGTTAGGGTAGTGTCATCGGGCGAGTCCTGGGGTCTGAGGATGGCCAGAGCAGTTATAGCAAGACACTGCATCCGAAGGGGCCACCAAAGTTACTCACAAATAGATTTGCAAAAATTTTTTCACAGTAAATTTCTTTTTAATTGTGCCGAGATTTATAGTTTAAGATATAAAAAAACACAGCTGGGTTATCAATTATTGTATTGGAAATTCAATCTACGAGGTAGAACACACAAGCCACGTGGTTTTATTGTGCCGTTTGTATGGGGGGTTATCATGATGTGTGATCAGTCCTCCATTGAAAGTATTATCAAAGTGTCACTTTGCAAAACACTGGCTAGTGTGCCGTACACGACAAAAGCGAAGCACAAGATTGGCAACATTTTGATGAGCTAAAGGAAGTACGGAAATTATTCAATATCAATTTGATTCATGGTTGAAACGGAGCCGATCCAAAATTTGACAACGGGACAGCGGAATCACCTTCCAATCATTTCTGGTTTGTGTCTCATTGAGCCGTGGTGTCGATCAGCCTGGACCTGCTTTTTAAATGTAGAACATGGTACAGCGCTAACAGTGAATTTCAGAAGACACACACACGACAGTCTGACACCGATTACATGAAAAGATCACAGCAGTGTGCAATGAGCAGATTCAAACAAATAGCTAATCACCATTCCAGCCATTTCTGCCCAAAACTGCTTGCACATGTATGGATGTTGAACTTCTTTCCCACCATACGTAGCCAACCATGCTAATCGGAGGTGCAATGCCGTGATGGGCTTTCTGTGAAGAGGGTCATCCTTGCATGAAAACGCAACTCTTTGTCATGATGAGGTTATCGGTGGCTCACAGGGGCACACCCACCCAGATGCAACCCTGACTAAAAGTGGAAGTAGAGTACAGTACTGTTACGCTATTAGTGTTAATACGGTCGCCATTCGAACGTGATTCAAGGTTGCAAAACGTCACTACAAATTGGTTCAGCTTTACAGAGATTTCAAGCAAATCTGCTTACTGCAGCTTAGTTGCATTCTCATACATGATAGTGCTTACCGCTGTTACCATTGTTTACCAAAGCAACATTAGCACTTAAGTGACTGATCAGGTTACTTCAGGCTACAATTGGTGTAAGGGTTAGTTAGGTCATCTCAAGCCTGCAACAACAGCTCATTCTAAGTTAAGACAGTTCAAAGGGAGTGGTTTGTGCGTAGGAAGTACATGTGCGGTGTACCACAGCAGATTCCCACACCTAAACTGTGCCTCCATCACACTACGTGATCAAAGAGAAACAGCTGTGAATGCTATCACTCCGAGTTCATTTGATACCCATCATGCCACTGGACCTACAGGGCACTCAACTGGAATGCAAAAACATAATTACAAACACTGGTCTCTCTCTTTACAGAGACAATGAGGCTGAAGACGGTGTTAGAGAGGAGGCCTGAGCATGGGACGATTGCACAGGCTGTCAACATCCTGGCTGAAAAAAGTCTGCACTATACATCACTGTGTGCCCAGGCACATGCCGCAGCATACTAGCGACTAGCAGCTTTAAGCAGCGGGCAGTGTGGCGGGATGCTGGTGGCACACAGACACCCACTAGTATGGCTCTTACAATAGTAAGCAAGGTTAGGGGACAGCTGGAATGGAAGAAGTGTTGTTGGCAAGGGAGAGGGGTTGGGCAGGAGGTTTGGCGGAGTGGGGGTAATGCTGTGGAGAACAGTGGTTATTGGAAGAGGGGCTTTGCTAGGAGACGCCACCAAGCGTCAGCACGTCAAAGCAGATGTCGCAAACGCGCACAGGCTTGTTGAGGTCGAATTTAATGATGGGAATTTCTTTGGCCGAGCAGCGGTTGCACAGAAGTCGGCCGCAATGCCGGCTGTGGTGGGAACACACGTAAAAACAAAGTCACAGGTTAGTGCATTCACAAAATCTCCTGTCTCTCTCTCTCTCTCTCTGCTCCCACTCCATACTTCCTACCCTTAGCATCCACACTCTCTACCACAAGATAAACTCTGACTGAATTAATATTGTAGTCAGTGTTAGTCACCATTTAATGACTAAATTAAATCCACAGACTTAGACTTGACAAAAACTCCACGGATTGTCTATCGACTAAATTAACACTGGTTACGAAAGACTCACCAGTGGTGCTTGCGCGTAGTCACTCCAAACTTGGCCGCACACTCGTAGCAGTTAGAACCATCGCACCATGGAGGCTCCTTGGACAGCATGTCTGCCCAGGGATGACACCGGGGTGGCACAGCCCACCAGTTCAGAAATAATTACTTACACAACAACAACCGCCATTCGCCACTAAGTGGCCGTGACATCACCATGGCACTTGTGCCACTCTAAGGCCACGTGTAGTTGAATGCCCACTGGCAGGAGGTTACGGGACAGACCCAGGTGCCATGGGTTGACCGACTGAGATGACCGGCAGATGCACCACCTGTGCCTCCTACTGTTCCAACAAAAAAATGACTTACACCTACAGCAAATCACAGTCATTATGAATGCGGAGAAAGGTGAATACGAGCAAGTCTGCTGCACAATGAGTTAGGTTTTCTTCATACCGAGTAGACGGAAGAGAAGCTGCTTGGTGGCGACCTGGTAGTTGAAGATGTTTACTCCCTGCGAGTTCGTAAGGCCGAGGCGCGCGCCCGCCCGCACCACGGCGCGGCAAAGGTTCCCGTTGCCCTTCATGTACGCCAACAGCAGAACTGCGCGCCATGACCATGCAATCATTAAACCGCTCAGCTGTTCTCATGCTGGGGTTGGTGAACAGCTGAATGATGGGAGTGCCACATCTTAAGCATTCTGAGCAGTGCTGAATCCGATCGCTGTCAATGACGCCTTAGTGTTGTGGGGCAGCTGCCCTAGTTGCACAAACTGCATTGAGTGTGTGTGTAGTGCGTGTGTAAACTGTGGGAAATAGAGGAATAACGGTTTGCACACTCCATTCCGAATCTTAGCAACCAAATTTTGATTCTCAGTTAAAGCTTTAATCAGTGGGAAATATTTCAAATAGTTCGGAGACTCCTCTAAGTGGACGCAGCATTAAATAGCTAGTGCACTGTGTAAATATCAGCACTACCAAGAGAAAGACAGTCAGGTGTGGTGATGACCAAACCACTCCCTTGTGCACTTTGCAGACCTTAGTATGTGCTTGCAAACAGAGCTTGCCCCAACTATCTATGTAGGTTACATGGGAGAGCTTTGTCCTTACATGTAGATGACTGCAGCCTAAGGTTGTGGAAAGGTTCTCATCAATGTAATTAGTTCTCACCACATCCACTTTATGTACAACACTTGCAACTGTTGTGTTTGTGGCACGCAGGACAGCCACCCACAATGACCCCCACCCACCCCCTTACCCACCACTAACGCACGACCGTAGTCTGCTAAGGAAGAGCTGAATGAGTAGCATTGAGGCATTAAACGTGCTCACCCGTGTGGCCCTCAATGTCCGGCTTGTCCAGTGGATACTCCGGCATGCACTCGAGAAAGAGCTCGAAAATGGCAGCCGCATTCTCCTTGCCGTACTGGCCCAGCACGTGCATGGGGCTCTGGCCTCTGCGCATAAACAGCCGCCACATGGCATGGAATCACGCAAAGTGGGAGCGTGGAGGCTCCAAAGCCAGCGCGGCCAGGTAAGTCCGATTTGGGGAGCGGGCTATTGGTGGGGAGGAGGGCGTCTGTGTTTCTCACCGCAAGTTGAAGGCTTCAGCGTCGATGCTGGACTCAGTGAGGAGGACGCGGACCACGTTGAGGCGGCCGTGCATGACAGCGAGGTGCAGCGCTGGAAAACCGACGGCGAGGAGGAGAGTATTAATGCGCTAGTACAGCATGCACAGGACTCCTAAAAACCCCACCCCCTCTTCAGCGGTACCACGTAAAGTGCCTGCGCTTTTCGGTTTTCATAGAAACTAAAACGTTGCTTGCTGAACGCACAAGTGAAATTTCTCATCAGTTTCAATCTAAACCAATGTAAAACCAAATAAATATTAATGATATTGGCCGCATGTTTATATTACTTGTGAATATGCTTACCTGTTGGCTTGTAGTGGAAGTAAGGTATTATGCAGCATTCAAGCTTCGTGAACAAGCGAGCATTCTTGTGAGCATTTTCACCGACAAGTAAATCACCCTGAATGCGACTGATCTCATCAGATCTCTTAGGCTAAGCATCACTGAGCCTGGTTAACACCTGGATGGGAAACGGCCTGGGAAAACCAAGTATTGTAGGCTTGCGGCTGTCAAGTAGCCAGGTGATGACAGTACAGCAATGGGGCAGCAACGCAACGACAATGATCATGTGTCACCGTGCCCTCACCGTTGTTGCCGTTGTCGTCGCAGGCGCTAAAGTCGGTGCTGTTCTCAATCAGCACAGAGCAGATGGACGGCAGGTCCAGCTGCGCTGCCAAGTGAAGCGCCGTCTGCCGGTTCTTGGTCAGCTCGCGTACGTTCGCTCCCGCCAGCAGCTGCAGCGACGGACGGCAACGCAACGACACAGACCGGCGCACACAATGCCACAACCTTAAACATTCCAAACCACCACACCGGCTGTGCCCCCCACAATGTTCCTATCTTTAGTTTGGGAAAAAATACACAACGATTGCAAATCCATGTAATAAAAAACACTGCGTTTATTCTATTTGTTTTAATTTTAAATTGAAATGAGATGGTATACATATATATATTTTAAATCTTGAATTGAATTGTGAACCAGAATCTTGACAATCCATTGAATTGCAGGAATTATTACATGCCTAATTAATATAATTCCTCTGCTCCACAAACACAACAGTCCTGCCCCCTCGTGTTTGCTGCTCTTAATTTAACCTGCACTTGTCACGGCCCTTACGAGGTCCACGAGCACCAAGTGGGGGTGTGCGCACTAAAGCACCGGCGGGCACATGGCCACCCACACGGTAGTAAGTGGGGGTGGGGGGGGGGGGGAGGGATTGTGCCACGATGCAGTGGGCGTACCAAGTTGCGCACGATGATCTCGGAGCCGCCCTGTGTTGCGAGGTGCAGCGGCGTGAGGCCCGTGGAATCCTGCACGCGCGAGTTCACGTTGGCGCTCACGCTGATGAGGAACAGGACGCTCTCGATGTCCGAGTTTTGCACCGCCACGTGCAGGAAGTTGCGTCCCTTGTTGTCGACCTGAATCGAGGCGCGTGTCAAGTTTCGTAAAAATTTGACTGTTTTATTTAGAAATTAACTTTCTTTCAAACGTCTTGGAGGAAGTAGGAAAAGCTACATTTTATCCGACCACATTGTTTCAACTGCCAAAGGGGCATATAGAATTGAACGGGCGACCTCTGAAATGCAATTCTAGTCTGTTAAGGCAGCATCCAGTTGAATAATCAATTCAATATTCTAAAGAGAAATAAATAACTTGCATAATTAAAGTGCCCATCTCTAATCTCAAGATTGTATTAACCGGCGGGGGCTGCTGCGTTGGTGCACTCACCTGCTCAGCAGCGGTGGGCTCGCGCTTGAGGATGGCGTCTGCAGCACGATTGTTCTTGTACGTCATGGCGCAGGCAAATGGCGTCTGACCTTGGCGGTCACGAGCACCCAGCCGCAGCTCAGGGTGGGACAGCAGCAATGCGATGATGACATCGTGTTGGTTGCTGATGGCGATGTGCAAGGGTGTGCGGCCCTCAGCATCCTGCAATACGTCACGGGCGGTAAAATCTTAACAATAATTTAAACTTGTGAAAATAATTAACGTAACGTACGGCCCCTTTCCAATCCACTGCTAGATGAAGGACTCCCCCCACCATGTCAACAGACATGGTAAATTGTGCCGTCACGTGGTATTGATTGATGGAGTGCAACGTCATCTGGTATGAAGCACCGCAAAACAATCTCACACTTTCATTCATTGAGTTGAGACACATTTAGACTTAAAACTTTCGTGACTACAGGAATTCATATTCTTGGTTGTTTCGGTAAAGTCACGTAGATAGCAAACAAAAATCTAAATTAAAAGCAAAAAAACCCACGACGTTTCGATCGCTTGTATTGCGATCGAAACAAGAATTTGAGACACATTGTGTCACTTTTTCAACTTCTGCCAATATGCTGCAGACACAATTTACACAGCAGCCGTTTAATCCTTAACAGAGCTCCAGCGGAGAACATCTGCCAGCCCACATCACCGAATAACTTAGCACAGTATATTAATGGATCTCTTTACTTATCATGTGAATGGAATAATCAATATAAAATGTTTACTTAAGAGGCTATTTTAAGCTATATCATTCTTCACCGAGGAGTCAACAAAAAGACTCACTTTAAGTGAAGAGAGCATGTATTTGTCCCTATTTTTCCAATTAAAATGTTGCCAGAGGGACACACGGCCATGGTAGGACACTCTTGTCTTGGCGGCGCTAATGGAAAAACTCCTAGATGGAGCATGTCACAAGCCTTAAATAATCCTCCACCAACATGAGAATTGCACCCAATAACCTAGAGACCGAAAGGCTTAGCAGCTCAACTCAACAGCGCCAGTATCACGCACACCCGCAAACAACGCACTAGGCATGCCACGCAGATTAAAATAAATACTTAATTTCACGATACGTGTATCGAATTTATACATGAAAAATAATCAATTATTGAATCAATCACAACGCTGAATGATGACAATTCATTATCTTGCTGTCCGCACATCTCATGGCAGATCAGCCCACTGCCTTCACAAGTGGAAGTTCAAACTAAGTCTGGCGTGATTGCAGACTGGAATAATCGACCACAGGAAAAATAGCTCTTGGTTAATCCCCACAAGCCCACTACACACACCTGCATGTTCACATTTGCTCTGTACTCCAGTAGACACTGAACCACCTCCTCCAGGCCCCACGTGGCCGCCAGGTGCAGCGGAGTCTGCCCGTCACGTGCCTCCTCTTGACCTTCGCCCTTGAGGCCCGGTCGCCTTGGGCCGTCTCGATCACAATCACTTTACACGTGGGCAGAGACGGGCAGTAACTAAATTACACGTAATTGACGTATGCAATTGGCGTTTCAAAAACACAACGAAGGTAATTTGTGGCTAAATTACGTGAGCCATGGTAAATTGATTATTTGCGTCAACATTACTCCAGTATATTTCGCCCATCTCTGCTTGGTATGGGCACAAACGCAAAGCACCAAATTCAACATCGCAGAGCAATCTTGTTTGACCATACTTCACCATGCTGGATTATGCAGGATGGTGAAGGGACAGAAGAACAGTACAATAGAACAATTAATATTGCTGCACTGCCCTCTAGCAGCAATTGCAGCTCATTGTATCCATCCAGGTGAGCACCATAGTGAGACAAGTCTCTTCAGCGAGGGAGACCTGGGATGAACGATGGGACACTTTTGACCTCAATGCCAGGCACTTAAACGAAACTAAAACTATTTTTAATTCACCAGTTAAGGCCCACTGAGCTATAAAGCTCTTTTTCAGAAGCGACCTGGCCATAAATGATAGCTCAACGAAGTGGCGTATCACGTGGAAAGTTATAGCAGCCAAATACGTACATGAATAAAGCACAAATGCTGCTATAATATTTTATTGAGATATAATTCTCCTGCCTGATGTTGTGCAATGACGCGACATGGGCAAGGGAAGGCATGGGTACGCAAACCCGCACCTGCGGATCAGGAAGCAGGCGATCTTCTCATTGTTTTCGTCAATGGCGCGGTGCAGCAGGGTCTGCTGGCAGCCTCCTGGCCCAGGGCCCCAGCAGGTGGAATCACAGCCGTGTCGCACCTGGGCACACAGCGGAACACGGGCACAGGTCACATGCAGGACTGCCTGCGTGCTCACCATGGGGCCGGAGACCACTGATTATCCTTCACTGGTGAAATAGCCATCTTATCAGCAGCAGCAGCAGCAATAATTGCTGTTGCCTTTATTAAAATGACCAGCATTGAAGTCACCCGTAATCTGCTCTATCTCATATCTTGAAATGACCACTATTCTTGAACAGGTCGACATAGAGCTGAGGGCTACATGGTGGCAGCAGAGGGCAGTGCAGCAACATATACTGGTGTACTACTGCAGTGGTTCTCAACCTTATTCATATGGGGGCCACCCAATCAAGACCACTGGGTTCCTGTGAACCCCCCTCCCCACAAGCCCCAAAACACAACTAAGGTTACCAAGGCTGCAACGCAGAGAGATCACACGTCGTCGTAAGGTATTTGTTTCATTTTGTGTATTTGCGTGTTTTGTTTTCAAAATGTCTTTCTCCTAATTCTCCTTCGAAAGTTCTGATATCCATGCCGCAGCCTGCGCCCTCCCTGAAAGGTTTTATATGCGAGGCTTACGTGGGGCTGTCTTCCACGGGTTGAGAACCACTGTACTCTACGTTTCCACGTCTATGATCTCCGCGTTCACCAACCCGCACTGACCAACGTGGTAAAAGTATAGTCAAATAACCCCCACGACTGCTACAGCGGGGGAGGAACCATCACACAGCGACGGCAGATACCAGGGTGGAAGCGATGTCGTCGTTGCCCCCCTGCAGCGCCACCCAGAGCGGGGGGTCCCCGGCGGGGTCGCGCACGGTCATGTCGGCGCCGCGCGTGCACAGAGCGTCCACCACCAGGGGCAGCTGCTGGCGTATGGCGAGCTGTAGCGGCGTCTGCCCCTCCGCCGTGCTGTAGCATCGCAGGCGCCGCGACGGGGGAGGGACGCACGCACACAAAGGCAAGACAGCTGAGTTGAATCCAGGATCGGTCCAAACCAAGCTCTCAGCAGGGCCTGATATGTGCTCTGACACGATACTGGCTCAATTATCCACCAATTAATTACGAACAATATTATTATTATTAATGTATCGTTTGCCGCAAACACCGCTGTCGGCATGGTGCCACCCGGGCCCTCACCGAATGTTGATGTCGGCGTTGTGCTCCAGCAGAAAGAGAGCGCCGTCGCTGTTGCGCTTGAGGATGGCGGCGTGGAGCAGGGTCTGCCCGTCCGACGAGCGCTCGTTGATCGCCGCTCCTGAGCCAAGCAGCTGGGCCGCGATCTTGTGCATTCCTAAACCATGACACAAGGATAAGCACCGGAAAAACGGCGCATGGAGCACAAGACTCTGACATGACAATCCTAGCCGCAAGCCTCAGACCAACCCTAAGTTCCCAAAGCAGAAATGGAACAGGTGTATGACCATGGCGGGGCCTGTGTTTCACGAGACTCACCGGTCCACAGGGCTAATCCCAGCACAGTCTGCTCCTTCGAGTCCTTCAGGCTAAAGTCCGGGATGATCTGCAAGTTGTTTACACCATTCAGCGCATTTGCTGAACAGTGAGAGAACAGTAACAAATGTTAGACGAAACATTCATGAACACCCATCAGCAGAAAGTCTGCAAAATGTATCTGCATAATTGTTACGGATATGTGATACGAACATCATCAATGGCTTGCATCTATCATTCATGAAATAGAAAAATCGTGCAGGTGCTGCCACTCTAATGTTTTTGTATAAATTGACACTAACTGGCTGCACAACCACAGAGTCACTGCTCTAACGTGTCAAACAAAGACACTAAATGGCTGCACAACCACAGAGTCACTGCTCTAACGTGTCAAACAATCTCTGCCTGCACGGCACCGTGGCGTACCTTTTTGCTCCAGGAAGACTGCCACCACCTCTGGGTGGTTGTGGTAAATCGCGAGGTGAAGCGGCGTCTGCGCGTGCATCTCGTCATCTGACCCCGGACCCTTAACCGCGGCAGCATCGCTCAAAGTCTCCCCTTCTGCTTGCCCGCACTCCCTGTCCATCACCGGCATCAGGCTTGGTGTCTGACTCTGACTCGGTGCATATGCGGGCCCGGTTTGAGCGTTGGGGTTGGCGCCGCGGTGCAGCAGTTCGGCTGTGAGCTGCGCCAGGCCGAAGTGGCATGCCGTGTGGAGCGGCGTTTCCCCCTGTGAGACGATGCAAAACACATTTTACATTTGTAATTTTCGATTATGTACAGGTGGAGGATTTGTTTACAAGTAGGTAATATTTCTTACCCACTGTGATTCAATGAACTGTCACGATTAGAGGTCACGATTCCAATCAAGTATTTGTTTCTTACATTCTGTCCCGTTTGTAATGTTGGTTTGTTCTTTCTCATGAATTCCACTAACCAAAAGGTGAAATTAGAAAATTATTTGCAGATAATCTTGACATTTATCATGAGCGTAGTAATCTACTAATCGACCAATTATAAAAGGTCTGTAGATTTACCCCTGATTGGTGTGAAAACCACTGCACTGGAATCATGCTGCCATAGCACTAACCACGTCACTAACGCAAACTCTATCCCACACTGTTCACACGCATGTAAATGGCATGCCCATTAACAAGACGACAACCCCAGTCCATAAAAACCTATTCCTATTCGCTGCAGCAGTTAGACTGCATGAGAGCATGGCGCATGTCCTCACCCTGGAGTTGGTGTGGTTGATGGAGGCTCCATGAGCCACCAGGAAAAGCGTGGCTGACTCGCTGCCTGCTGCTGCTGCCCGCTGCAGCAGGCTATTACCTGCACAACAGGGAGGAAGTGCAGGTACACGAATCTGTGCTTTAGATCTCACGCAAAGATGCATTTTTGTAAGCCCTTTGTAGCATCCAGTGATGACTGATTGGTGTATTCTCCAAACACTACTGCGTAGTCTTTGGGTCTTGCGGTAAAGTCACGTAGATAGAAAAATGATTTGAAAAAATCACGACGTTTCGATCGCAACACAAGCAATCGTCTTCAGGTGAAAAAATACAGCAGGCGAACTGCTGAGGCAGGATAAATATAGCGAGATAACTACTGCAGTAAGAGGTTATATAGGTTTGAGATGGGTACAACCCAAGGGTAAGTGGGCAGGGCTAGAGATGGAATTTACAAGTAATATACCTCGGCCATTGTATTGCTAGAGATTAGAGATTAGCATGTCAATGTGAGATGGCTCCCGCAGCAGCGGCTGTGTTAATGAGACACATTCAGCCTATTAAACAACGAGAGCCACCACCACATCGAGGAAAAGGGAAGCAGCGGCTATGTTAGTGAGACATTTAGCCTGTTAATGTAAAGACATTTAACAAGGTAATGTAACTCAGAGTCGGAGATAACTGTTAACATCGGCAGGTAGGATGGAAGCATCACAGCCAGTTATGACTTTACCTGGTTAATAACATCCTTCCAATGATTGCTCAGTTTGTATCCATCTTCTTGGTTGAAATTGTGTCTGTGTTTATATATCTCTATGGCTTCATGAACAAATCTTTGTTGATAGCCAGTGGGTTTGCATAGTACCTTTGTCTTGGAGAAACCAATTTCACGTGTGCCCACAGCGTTAAAACAATGATCACCTACGGCAGAGGTATTACTCCTACCGTTTTTCAGATCCGCCTTGTGTTCACGAACGCATGTCGCTTCGTTTCTCCAATGTTACTGTCGCAGGCACAACTTAGTTTGTAGACACCGGGGTATTGCATGTCAGGGATCACATCCTTCACAGATGGGATCAGATCACGAATTTTATTAGCGTAGGTTTTTGCGGTGGTGATGCATAGATCTCCTTAACGTTTTTTTGAGTTGTGAAGCGTGTCAATCGGCAACCCGTACAATGTTTTGCTCCATGTTCAGGAACTTGCTATCATGCCGAACACCATGCGGCACAACCCAAAAACACATCGGAGAGATGTGCTTTGGATAACCACCATTACCAACCCAAGTTAAACTCCCAGTATTAAAACAAGTCTTTCTCTTTGATCCCTGTCGCGCACCGGTTTTGATGTCAGACGCATCGGCGTTGCTGCCCCTAGCAATGAGCCGGGCAGCCAAGCACTGGGACGAGAAGGCATCGCCGTTGAGGACGTGCTGCCCGGCCTGCCCCTCCGGCCAGCCTGGCTCCTCGGCCACGGGGCATCGCAGCGCCAGCCACAGTGCCGTGTCCCCGTCACGGTTACGCAGCTCCAGGTCGATCCTGGGCACAAATGACGGGTGGACAACTGGAGGCACCAATAACAACGGCAACAGCTGCGACAAGCGCAAGGCAAGGTCAAGGCTTCCAATGGAAGGATGCACTGAACTGCAATTATTTACAACTGTGATTTCAAAATCATTTGTTTCTCATTAAATAAACTTCAAACTTGTGTTGAACAGCCACGGATAGACAGCTTGAATGTGTATGGACAACAGCTGTTTTATTGGGTTGCATCTCCTTTAAGTTCATTGGTGCAGTTATGGGGAATATTGGTAATTAGGCTCAAACCATAAACTTATTATACCAATAACCGATTTAATCAAAGGAAGCTACCTGGATTGGAACCTAGGTTTTCAACGGTCAGCTTAGCACTCTGGCGTCTTGAGATACCCGGCCACCTCGGTCTAAACTACTTAAAAAAAAAATGGAAATTCAAACATACGACTTACTGCTTGCACTGCAGCAGGAGGCTGAAGACAGCTTCATTCTCAGCCACGATCGCTCTGTGTAGAGGCGTCCTGTTACCCGGGGAGAGGAGAGACAAATCAAACAAGCTCTTTAATCAACACCTGCACAAGTACAAACCCTTGTGGCAGTCCAACATCGTAACTCGATATCGGTGTTTGGACAAGCTCAGGGGCACCATACTCTCCTCCGAATGAAACTCCCAGTCCAGGTCATGTTCTGGAGTTCACACACGCGACTGGAGCCGACAGCACTACGCTTCTTCCACATTTACAATTATGACTTTGTTATGTTATTCCTGAATACAAAAAAAATACTCAGTGAATTTATAATATGAATGAGTGGAACAGCAGTTCAAGGTAGTGATTTGATTCAGGAACTAATTGTTATTTGAAGAGTGGTGAAGTACCTCTAGAGGCTGAAGGGGTGAAGTTAACCAATAATACATTGGTTTAAGATTCAGTATGGATTGATGTGTGACTACACCCCTAATAGTATCAATGAGATGCTGCTATGACTGGTGATGAGTTAATGTTTCATGATACAGTGCATGCATCGCCTTTCATGGTGTGTTTTTTTGTTAGGCTCTTCCCATCTCTCATCCTGGACAAAATCAATGACACATCGGCAAAATCGATGCGAATGGTAGACTGGTCGAGTATCATCAACAACCCCCATAGGGGCCCAGGCACAGCATTGAAGATTACACTCCTTCCACATCACCCGTGAGGCGCCACATCCGTTAGGGCAGGGAACCTATGGTGTGCGACTTCATTTCATATGCCCCGGGGCCACATGAGGCATACTACTTGAAAAAAAACCCGCAAACGATATTTATCCATCTTAGCTGCACTGACTGGGTACTGGAGCAGAATGTTTTGGTCTGCCAGCAGTGCAGTGCTAATTGCAGCGTGCTCAGTGACATGTCTTACATGCAGTTTTGTGCAAAAAGCATATGCATACAACCGTCGCGTGATCAAAGTTTACCATCAACAAGATATGTGGCCCACCAAAAGTATCTGAACGTCCTATTCGGCGGCCCTCAGTAAGGAAACATTTCCCCCACCCTTGCATTACAGCTTCGCCACAAGCAATAGCTTGAATATCTCAGCGCTGCCACTTACCATTAACGCACGATAATGGCCACTGCGTTCATTCATATTTCAAGGCACAGTACGGGTGATTAAAACGATGCCGCCCTTAACAGGATGCGCCAAAGTTGCAACGCAACAGTGTCCGAATCATAAATGGGAGGTCACAAGTGTAAATCCTGGTCATAGATCAAATTCAACCTACATCCCTCAGGGACCATTAAGCCTAGGATGCAAACCTGAAATGCTATACACTGTTCCGGAGGTTCGGTCTGGAAAACCCATACAAGCAATCACGTGCGCCTGCTTACAACAGATCACTCATAGATTCCTTTAAGTAATTCGATTTTAAATGTGTTGCACAAGGTCAAGCAAGAGCCTACGATATATAAACCCAAGGCATCATTGCAGGGTCTCTTGCAAACAGGATTGCATCCTAGGGTTAAAATATGCACTGCTTTGTGAGAAATCAAGTGGTTGTGGTTGTAACACACTGGCCCCAAGCACAGGAATGTGGAATCTCCATCACTGGCTCAGGACAAGTCCTGCTCATTGCATGTGTGAGCTCAGAGACACTTCAAACTCTTAGACAAGGCAATGTCCTCATTCAATCAAGGGCTGCTGGTTAGGTATGTAACAACACATCGATTTAGACTAACATTCATTTTTATACTCAAATTTAAAGCATATAATTGTGAGTGTAAAATAATTTTACATTTAAACAAAATATTAATGTTTATGCAAATGTTAAATTTAGGCCAATGGAACAAGTGTACAAATGAGACAAAAAGAGAGATATGAGGCCAATGAGACGATTACAAAGAGACAAAAAAATGAAAAATGTGCATCGAATTGTGCCCCTGATTTGTGCCAATTCATTGAATCGCTCCGCAGGGTGAAGGACAAGAGGGCAGAAGGATGTTGCCGTTAAGAGAGTGCTGTCCAATCTGCCCCTTCGGCCAGCCTGCCTCCTTGGCCTCAGGCCACCGCAGTGCCAGCCACAGCACCATATCTCCATCAGCAGGTCCAGGTCGATCCTGAGCACGAATGATGTGAGGACGATGGGGAGTACGGACCGGCCAGAGGAATCCTGGGTGTTGGGGTTGGCGCCGGCCTCTAGGAGAGCGTTAGCGATGAGCACGGTGCCGGGGCCGCTAGCTTCGTGAGCAGAGCGCGAGGACACCAGGTGCAAAGGCGTCTCCTGGCCCAGCACTGTCGCCGCGTTGGCAAACGCCCCGTGCCGGATCAGGAACGCTGCCGAGAACTCGTCGCCTGCCGTGTCATGGTCGTTTAACGTCACAAAGGAAAACAAATCGCGCCGACAATAAGGCTTGTATGCAGGTCAGCAGTGACTGCACGTAAAAAAATAAAACGCAACACTTTATTTAGTTTCGCACATCATTTAGGCTATATTCCAGCTCTAAAAAGCTGAAAATATCGGGTTGATTTTCACGCAGCAAACATTACTCTCATGTGGTTGGGAAGGTTGGAGAGTGATAGCCCTGACTGTGCAGAACTTGAAAGGATCTCAATGGTAGCTCTGTGGTATCTATTTCTGTGGGCCATACTGCAAACGAAGCGTTGCACGGCTCTAAAAGATCCCAAGTAGATTCTTCCTCTCACGACGTACCGCCGCCGATAGCAGAACCAGCATAACATTTTAAACACGTAACCCCAATGGGACAAGATTAAGCACGTTGCATGGCACATGGTGGGGGCATGCCCACCATCGCACCCAGTGCATACCGCGTGTGATGGCACGGTGCAGCAGTGTGCAGCCCTCGCTGTTGGGTCGCTCCACGTCGGCGCGGTGTGTCACGAGCGTCGTGGCAATGCTCTCCAGCCGCCGCTCCAGCGCCAACTCCAGCGGTAGCTTGCCCGCCAGGTCAGCCTCATCCAGCTTGTCCGGGAGCTTCACGCAACACGCAGGCACATGGGTGTGGAAGTGTAGGAATAAAACGCCTGTTTATAAGCGACCATAAATATGTACCTACTTAGTTTCTTAAGGCAAGTACGGTTAGCCAGCACCTATGAAGACTTGAACGGTGCACGAGGACGAGGGGGTGGCGAGTTCAGCACCACACCTGTCTGCCTTTGTCTACATAGTACTGATGTTTACACACCATACTGGTATTCAATTAAGGCATAGTAAATTAAAATATGCAGCACTGAAACTGATATCTGCAGATTTATAGCACATCGTTATCCACTTCGCCATGTTCCCCTGCCCTTGTATACACGCACACACAACACTCAGACTCTACGTATCCAAAGAGTGTTGATCTCATCCTGATGATAATGATGACGGTAACAAACAAAGATGGGCAGCACCTGTGAGTCGTACTCGATGAGGTAGAGAAACACGACGTCCTCACGCTCGGCCTTGATGGCCTGGTGCAGCGGGAAGTCAGTCTTCGACTTGAACATCTTGTAGAGGAGTGGGGCTGTTATGCTGCTGAAATCCTCTGCTCGCAGGTCATCCTGTGCCCACACACACACCATGTGTCAGCCACGGCTCAATGCCGATCAGTTATTTGACAACCAATTGGATCACCGTGTCATTTTATTGTTCCACAATTAAAATAAAATGCAATCCAAATAAAACTGGTTGTGGACTATCACAACACCATACCCAGTGGCTGGCAATGATCTCCGCGCAGTAGTTAAGCAGGGAAGTGGCACCCAGCTCCTCGGCCGTCTGGTAGTAGCGGATGCAGTTCCTCACCGTCACCGAGGACATGATGGCTTTCTCAGACCTGCCAGGTAGAGAGAGCGGCCAGCTTATAGGTTCCTACCCCAACACCGCCCCCCGGCTCTTATATTCCAAAACTAGCTGACCCTTGTCTAAATAACACATTTCTTATGGATAAGTTATTTCTTTAAACAAAAGGAAAGAACAGCAATGGGCTCTTCTTTACCTCCTGCTATAGCAAATCTGTACAATGGAAAACTTTTAAGCAAGAGCACTTGCTTCAAGTACATTAAAACCATATTTTTGGTTTAGATATGTAGATGACACTTTGGTTGTCTGGCCACATGGTAAAGATACACTTAATTAATTTCTAAATTATCTCAATTCACAAAACCCGGCCATCCAGTTCACCATGGAAATGGAGGTAAGAGGGCAGGGCTAGAGATGGTCTGCCTGAGGCTGTGGAAGTGGCCATCTCTAGCCCCGCCCTCTTACCCTGAGGCTGCACCCATCTCAGGCCTATATAAGACCTTGTTTCAGTAGCTTTCTCTCTCTCACCTGAAGACGGTCGCTTGTGTTGCGATCGAAACAACCTGATCTATTAATTTTCAAACTACGTGACTTTACCGAAAGAACCAAAGAGTATACACTCCTTCTTTGGTTCTTTCGGTAAAGTCACGTAGAATGAGAATAAAATAATAAATTGATAAAATAACACAATAATATTCTCACGACGTTTCGGCCACAACACAAGCGGCCTTCATCAGGTGAAGGGACGAGACTGTCTGGTAGGACAACGCTGACTGTCTGGTAGGACAACGCTGTCCTACCAGACAGTCTCGTCCCTTCACCTGATGAAGGCCGCTTGTGTTGTGGCCTACCAGACAGTCTCGTCCCTTCACCTGATGAAGGCCGCTTGTGTTGTGGCCGAAACGTCGTGAGAATATTATTGTGTTATTTTATTTTATCAATTTATTATTTTATTCTCATTCTACGTGACTTTACCGAAAGAACCAAAGAAGATGAATCATTGCAGTCACGAAAGCTTTAAATCGAAAAGTATACACTCCCTTTCCTAGATATTTTGCTCGTACGTGGCCTAAATGGTAAAATAATACACAGCGTCTACCGAAAGGGAACGCACAATGATGCCTATCTGAATGCAGATTCACATCATCACCCCACACAGAAATCCTCTCTCATCAAGATGCTCATACATCGGGCTAAAACAGTGTCAGATGGTGAAAGTCTGAGGAGAGAGATTAAACATGTTAAAGAAGCGCTACGATTCAATGGCTACAACAATGCTCAAATTAACAGAGCATTGAATGCCAAACCAAGATCGAACAGCAATACTGTTGAAAGCGATCAGGTTATTAAAACAATAAAAATACCAAATATCACGGGAGTAACTGACAAATTAGCTCGAGTTTTGCAAAAGCAAACATCAAAGTAAGATTTGGCATGGTACACAAGATTCAATAACTAGTATCTTGTACTAAAGATGAATCGCCTAAGTTATCAACAGAAGGTGTGTATCAGATTCACTGCTTATGTGGCAGATGCTATATTGGACAGACGGGACGTAACATCAGCGTAAGATAAAAAAAAACACCAAATAAATATAAAATACTCTCAAACACAACTGTCGGCAGTTGCAGAACATGATTGCCAACAAGGGCACTCAATTGATGTTGTGTAAAACTAATTATGACTGGCCAAGGATATTTCAAGAATCCATTGAAATTTAGAGAAATAAAAATTATTTTAACCGCTCTGACAGCTACAAGCTTAATGCGGCCTGGAAGCGTATCATTAAGTAATACATCTTACAATAACAATTCCTTATAGAGGAAACACATACTAATTCACTGATTACTAATCTATTAGATAATTACAATCACCCCCCTCCTCCGCCTCTAATCTCTACAGCAGATTTAGTTCCATGATGACGTCGTCCTGCACTATTTAAGAGACCTGAAGCAGGTGGATTACTTAACTAATCTGGCAAATCGCCCGATGATGCTGGATGTAATTACCACCGAAAAGTTGTACTCAAATTGTAAATGTTGTGGATTTACTCTCCAACACACCGATGAGCTGAAGTAGTAACTAATTGGCATTTGTTTATGTGACAAATCCCTTACTAATTGGCTGTGTCGGGTGGTGGAGGGTTACGACACATTTATACTTACGCGATCTAACCCCAAAAACCTTTATTACGAATATTGATCACGAAAGCCTTAGTGTTTAACTGAACAATAGGCCTATAAACCAAATCACGCAGAATCTTGTGAGATCTCTGAAGCCAAGCAGGATTTAGTCTGTATCATGCTTAGATAGGAGACCACGAAGCATAAGACATATGTTATAGACTGGTGCGGAGCTACATCATGGGCAGCAGAAGAGAGTGCAGTAAAATCAATTGTTGCGTTCCTCGCCTTCACTAACCAGCACTCAATAGGGTGAAGTACGTTTAAATTACCGACTTGCAGGATTTCGTGAGAAGGCCCTCACCCATCAGTCAATTTAAACAATGGTTCTTCGTTTACAGGTACAACTAGAGTGGAAAATGCTATGGACTACAGCAAAAGCCCGTGAGAGCCTCGAGAGCCATCATGCAATCTGTAAACACCGTCAGCACCCGTTTAGCGGGAACGCGAATGGCAGTGCTCGTGCCGACTCACCGCTCTCGCAATGGCGTCAGCTTGTATTGACTGCCTAGCTTCATGAGCTCGGTGAGGAAGGCCTCTCCCTTGCCAGCTGTATCCACGTCCTCCGTGTACACCCACCGCAGCATTGCCACTGCAACCTCCTCGTCGATGCCTGCCACCGGAGTGTCCACAGCAGCAGCATCAGCAGCAACATGCAGATAAAAAAATCTGAAGCAGAATTCTGTATTTGGGCTCCACATATAAGTAGTTTTAGTCCAGCAGTATGTTGGCTTTCCAGACCAATATTATCAAGCAGCATTTGTAAAAAAAAAACCTCTAGACCAGTTGTAACCTTCTGGATCTCATCAACAGTCAGTTGTTATCTTGGGACAGCATCCCCATCAAAACCTTATTGCTTACAGCAGGGTAGGGAACACATGGCTTGTGACTTAATTTCAAGCAGCCCGTGGCTAAATGAGGCCGACCAATTCGAAACAGTCGGAAAATAATATGTATCCCTCACTGCAAGCACCTTAGCTGCACTAATCTGGTACGACAGGGGAATAATTTAAACCTGACAACAATGCTGTTTCCCATTTCATCAGACCCAGTCACTTCTGCCACTGTAAGAGGTCTCTTGCAGTGACAGGAGTGACTGGGGTGTGTGTTACCATATGGCCCGCCAAAGGAATTTGAAAGTCCCCACCCCGGCTGACAGATTTGTTAATGCGGGATTCGGAAGCACAAGGGTGAAATGCGATTGGGGATCGTATCCTACCCGACAGGTCGAGCGTGTCGGAGGAGGCCATGCTGCTCATGCTCCACAGGTCGCTGCGTGCTGCGAAGACGAACTTGTGTCCTGGCATTGCCTGCTCTTTGAGCTTCACCTGCAGGTCACTGGAAACAGTGAGGGTGAGATGTACACACTGACACCAAGCACTCTAAGCTGCTACAAAGTAAATAGACAGGTAAGGCAGTTGTTTAAACACCAAAATAAGATATTATTGAATCCATCCACCAATGGCGCTTTCTGATAAAGTCAAAACCAGCCTTGCTTAAATCCTACCTGGATACAGTAAATTGTCCGTGAGTCAATGATTGGAAGTTTATTGTCAAACAGGCTTGAGAAATTATACAACCACGTACACTAGTCCTGGGTCTTACTCGTCAGGACACTGAAGTGTGTCCCGCAAGCATAGTTTAACTTTTACATTCTTGTTGAGTATATTGTCTATACCAGGGGTCGGCAAACCAATTTGATTAAAAAAACGATATTTCAAGAGCCGCAATGCATGTGAATGAGACAGTGGGACCTTAATAAACAATGTCATGAAGCAGTCCTTAAAGAGCCGCATGCAGCTCTGGAGCCACAGTTTGCCGAGTCCTGGTCTATAGTGTATTTCTGAACGTAGCATTTGGTCTGCAATTACTTCCTTCCCAAAGCATTATCTGAAACACACATTCGTTCTGGCAGCTCGAGATCTACTGCATGGGAGGCAGGGTATAAATAATGGATAACGGTCGGCGCTCTGCAGGAGATGGAGAGGGGGACTCTTGACCACGGCTGATGATTAACAGGAGTGCTGTGATGATTTTTTCGATGATGATGATGACGACAACAACACACGCTCACCTGTAGAGCTCGCTGCGGTAGAGGTCTGCGACGAACGCGAGCAGCCGTGAGATGAAGTCGTCGGCGCGTTCGTCCTGGCCCGACGCGGCCGCCAGGTGAGCGCACCTGCGTTCCGTTTCCGTTAGCTTCTGCTGTAGTTTCACGTACTCCTGCCGCAGAAGCGCCAGGTGCTTCTGCAGCTTGGCCACATCTTCCCCTGCCACCAACAGCGGCAACAGAGGCAGCAGCATTAGCACTGTGGCTTGGCAACGTAGCAGATCCGAGACCAAGACCAATGAATGCCCAGCTATTTAAACGGACCATTATAAAGTTGTGTCAAGTGGGCAAGAATGCACAAGGGAAGCCAGAAATAAGAGCCTGTGGCAGAGAACAGAGACTCTGCGTCAAGACTAACACAGGAGCTTTTGTAACAAAAAAAGCCAGGAAGATATGCAGCAAGAAAAGTTTTCTGCGCCACTCCTGTTTCCTTATCCCAAACACAAACGTGTGGTTTCCACCCTGCAAATGCGAGGAGGATCATAACTTCCTTATTCAAAGAATATACTGTTTAGGCCATTCTTCATACTTATAGAGTCTGGTCCTACGACTCAGGAACAAGTGACAACACTATTTAACAAAAAACTAATTTTGTCCCTGGGTAGTAAGTGTTATTTCCTAATTGCTTATGCCTCAAAAGTACAGAAAATGGATATTATTCCCCACAAGCTTTGCTTTTGTAACCAGGACACAAAAGCAAAGTTAATAATCCACTCCATTAATAACACTGTGTAACACATTTTTTGTTTGTTCCTGGGTAGTGTTATTTCCTAATTGCTTATGTCTCAAAAGTACAGAAAATGGCTATTATTCCCCACAAACTTAGCTTTTGTGACCAGGACAGTGATATTTTGAAATGTACCTATTTTCAATGAGAAAACGTGGTGTGCATTTGTGTCATTCCTTCACGTAAAGTCCCGGTCACAAAAGCAAAGTTTGTGATGAAGAATAATAGCCATTTTCTATACTTTTTAGGCATAAGCAATAAAAAATAACACTTACTACCCAGGGACAGAAATCGTGTTTACATAGTGCAATCAACAGTTAGCGAAAACTTGAGGAGTCTAGCGCTGCAGTTCAGGAAAAGGGCAGTCTAGAGCCGTGCATTAGAAGAGTCTGGGGCAGGTGATTTATCAGTTGGATCTCGAGTTGTGATTGAGGAACCGGACAGTCGAAACCTGTGAATGGGAAGAGTCTACAGTTGCTATTGCACAGCTGTACCATCTGTTAAACGACTGGACATCTGTAAAAACAAGAGCTCATCTCGGATTCCTCCAGTACAAATACATATTCTGATAAAATATTCGCACTGAGAGTGGAATTGTGACTGATGAACATGTGATAACCTCGAGTTGTGTGTAACGGGTGGGTGTGTAGGAAAGTCTATTGCAACGAGGATCATACTTGTCAACCCGTTATGAATGCCAACCTAATTACAGACCAATTCAGACCTTATTGGTCTCAACGTTCATCCTACAAAGTCCCATCACAAAGGAGAAACACACACACAACGAAACGGCTATACGCCGTATGGACTTAAAAACTAAATTTCCCTGTACAAGAATACGGCTTAAAGCGTATGGGTTGACACGGTATGGAGGACTACATGGGGCAGTCTGGCGCTGTAGTGGCGAGAGTTTGGATCTGTTTGGGGAAGCGGGGCGAGGAGGAAGTTCTCTCTCTCGCCGCGAGTTTAAAATCGCTCAACTATAAGGGGATCAACAACAACAAGCGCCATTCGCCACTCAGTGTCGGTGACGTCACAACGGCGCTCGTGCCAGGCTAGGTGAACGTTTAAGGCCACGTGAAGTGTCGAGCCGCCCGCTGGCAGGAGGAGGTTACGGGACAGACCCAGATGCCATGGGTCGACTGAGAGTGAAATGGTTGAGTGAGATGACTGAGTAAGCTGACTGAGTGAGCTGATTGACTGAGATGACCGAGTGAGTTGATTGACTGAGATGACTGAGTGAGTTGACTGAGTGAGGTGACTGACTGAGATGACCGACTGAGATGACTGACTGAGATGACCGAGTGAGGTGACCGAGTGAGATGACCGAGTGAGGTGACCGAGTGAGATGACTGAGATGACCGAGTGAAGTGACTGACTGAGATGACCGAGTGAGGTGACCGAGGTGACTGACTGAGGTGACTGACTGAGGTGACCGAGTGAGATGATTGACTGAGATGACCGAGTGTGGTGACCGAGTGAGGTGACTGACTGAGATGACCGAGTGAGGTGTCCGAGTGAGATGACCGAGTGAGGTGACTGAGATGACTGACTGAGATGACCGAGTGAGGTGACTGGCCGATGCACTACCACCTGTGCCCCCCCCCCCGACTGTGCCAACTATAACGGGATCGCACCCCCTCTCTCACTCACGCATTGTAAACCCCAGCGCGGATAGGCGAGCACGCCCCTTGGGCCGCATCCTATTGGCCGCGCGACGCCTCAACCCCACCCGCGCGCGCGCTCGCAGCCAATCGGGAGGCGCGCGGAGCAACAGCTGCGCGCGCCCGCGCTACTGAATCTAAACGGCGCGCCCCCGGAAGACGGCGGCGCCGGACTTGTCGGCCTTTACCGAGTAAACCCCCCCCCCTCCCCCCCCGAGGCGGCATCCGCTAGAGACGGCGCCCGGATTAACCCTGCTAAAGCAGCCTGCGGGTTCCGCCACGATGGACGACTCGCGGAGTTGCACCAAAGAACAATCTCCCTCCCCTGCGTTCCCTCCCCGCTCGCAATCGGCGAACCCGCTCACCGTCCGCCGCAGCCGCCGCCATGTTGGAGGCCTCGCGAAGTCTCGCGAGAGTCACGAGGTCGCGCGAGACTTGGCCAGGGTAAAAGATGGCCGCGGCGGAAGCGGTGAGTCTTTGAGCGAGTTTGCCGCCAAAACTCGAGAGCGGCGCGGGATTCCCGCGCACTTTTTCGCGGTCAAACCGCGGATTTGTTCATCTTGGCGCGGTTGTTTTTCGTTCATAATTCAGACAGAGTACGCAGGCACTCATAGTTTCCTCACGGATTGTCAGCGCCCACGCTGCTGGCTGCTGCTGCGGCGTCGTCGTCGATAATAGAGATTACAACGGAGATTAAAAAAAAACACGTTGAGAACGCACGTGACTAAACTAACGCGTTCGCGTCCCTTGTAATTAAGATTGATTATAACACGAGCGATAGTTACATTAGGTTATCAACGTCTGTTGGCGTTGGTGTCGAAATATGAAGCGACGACAGCGATTCATGCGCCAAACAAAACATGTAACTTCTGTTCGTATACAACACATGCGCAGTCACAAACATGTTTGCGTCATTGTACAAACGTTTTCGTCTTTAAGTGTTGTACTGAAATCCTATTTTGCATAATTGGACGGTTTAATACATTGTTTCTTACACATTATTTTATTGTCTATTAGGCTATGTGCATTCAGCCAGTCGTGAAAATTCCACGTGGGAGCAACTTTCTGCTCCAAATATATAAATGTTATGAAGCCTCGTACTGTACTGACACAACTTAACGAAGCAGTTTTTTTTTCCATCGCATAGCGACTAATTTCGTAACAGTGATGGTTAATGTTTGTCTTTTTTTCCCCCTCGGAAAGTGCCGCTAAGTCTCTACGTTCACGAGACGCCTGCATTGATCCTTATGGCGATATCAGATAATAGTACCAGATAATAATAAATTGGCCGAGGCAATTAAATATTTTATTTCTGAGACACTTGCTACTCCGCGATGTCGAAACGCCAAGTATTCACGTTAAACAAACCATTAAGGAAAAATTCAAATTTCAATAGTTGCATCGTGTACAGCTCGTCGAGATGAGTCGATTTGCCGCATCGCCGACCATCATCAGACTAAAAATAACTGCATCACGGACGTTATGCGAGAGCCGGGCTACTAAGGAACCCCCAGGGGTACGTACCTCCATAAGGTTCATATGTCCAGTTTAAATACTAAACGGGTATTTAGGTTTCATGCGGGTGGAAACCAAGAAGGCTTGGAGAAATATCTACGCAAAGTCTCTACTTGCCAATGTCCTGCTCACCCCGAAGCGCCGACCCACCCACCCCACCCCCAAGTGGGTGAATCATTCCCACAAATCTATCGGAGCGTTGCGCCGCATGAATGAGAGCCCCCCATGCGTGTTACAAAGCGGAGAGAACTCGTTTGTGGACTGACCGTACCCCTGTTCTCTAACCCGACCCCCCACAGAAGGACGAGGAGGCAGGTTGCCCGAGCCCCCCACTGCCATCAGGGCGGACGCTGAGACGCCAGCGGCGGCCCGCGGTGGGTGCAGGTCAAGGGCCATCGGTGGGTGCAGGTCAAGGGCCATCGGTGAGCGTGCACCCATGAGTGCCACGCAAAATCACAACCGCGCTTGCTTTAATGCGTAGGCTTTCGCGACCAATATCGTCCATAATACAGGTCTTTTTTTGTTGCGTTAGATGGCGTAAATGTATTAATGTGTCGTTAAACCCCGCCGCCACCACCCGACACAGCAAATTAGTAAGGGTTGTCACGTAAACAGAACATGCCGATTCGTTACTAGTACAGCACACCGGTGTGTTGGAGAGCCAAGCCACGATATTTACAATCAGAGTGCTCTGATCTGATATTACCTGTCTGAGCCACCCAGCCACTTCTCATACTGTTAATAATATATGCCATGTACCAGGTGCACTGTACACCATGTAAAACCAAAGCAATGTACAGACTAAGGTCATCTCATTCCCTTAGGAATTAACACTGCCTGAAGTTCTTACAGAAACATACACAACAGAAAAATATTTCAGGGAGTTCTCTTTCGAACAAAGAGTATGCAATCTGCGCAGTCACCGTGACCTTTACGTCTTATTACAAGTTATTGTATTATAATCCAACAGACTGACAAAACATAGAGTAGCCAAGGAAGATTTCTACATGGGCCACTGACACTAAAGAAGCAGTACGTGACTTTACCGAAAGAACCAAGAATAAGCAGTGCATCGTTTAACATCAGTCAATGTTAAGCAAAGCATTGGGTTTGAGTGATCTCTTCCTCTGCTGCGCTGTCCAGTGTGCGTTTTGTCCAAAGAGCATGTTAATCTGTGACGCACCTTTGTTTTCTCAACGAAGGTAAAATGTGACCTTCATCTCTTTGGGATCAGCGGTGGCCAAATGGAGTCTCCCGAGCTGCATACGGCTCTTTAATCCAACACATGCGGCTCGATCGAAAGGGCATAACGGAGAGTATACTATCACGGTAGCAAATAATAAATGAATGTCTCCTGTGATGTGCTGTGCTGAAAACTGTCTATATATATATACTTATATATACACTTGGCTCATTCCGGAACTCATGGGTACTTTTTGACTCTTGGAATGTTAACAGGTTGGCCACCCCTGCTTTGGAGACATTGACGATGAGAAGCAAAGAGATTATCTGGATTTGGAAGTAAATGACACCGAGTCATGCCCAACAGTGAAGAAAATGAAGTGTGTGCCCAAGCCAAATACTAATTTCATCTGTATTTCTGACTCAGATGAGGACCTCAGTCAAGAAGAGTGAGTATAGGAGAATGTGTCCAACTTTAATGTTAAAACTTAAGTATTTTTTTTACATTTCTGTCAACTTTGTGGTGCTGGAGAAGCCATCAGTGCCAACATTTTCAGGCATACATGTGCAGCTGGAGCACTAACAAGACAGTGAACAATGGAATAGAGAATTTACTTGAAGATACATTTTTAAAACCTTTTTACCTCACATTTGTGTCGCTCAAATTTGTGAATTAACGCTTTTCTTTGGTTTTCTCTTATTTGTGTCTCCTTGTTGGTAGAGACTCGTGGAAGAATAATTCTCCAGCCCCACCATCTCCACCAGCACCTCGGCCTCGCCTCCAACAGAGACCCAGGAGAAGCCTTGACTCCAAAATTTTGTGAGCATTCCCCTTTGTGTGGTCAAACTAATCTCTCAATGCACTCGCATATTTGTGCCCTTCAGGTTTCAGGCTGCATTACTATGCAGATATTTCTGGTAATAATGGCGTGTGGATGCAGGAAATGTGAACACCCTGCTGCGTTGTCACTTATGAGGCCACTGCGATTCTGCTACCACAGGGAAGTGGATCGTTTGCTGAGTGCTTGCCGGAGTGAGGTGGACACAAGTGGGCTGGATGACTCACTGTCACTGGTTCCTCCACCTGACGCTCCTAAGGAGGAGGTCACTGCTAAGGTCCGCTGCCAAAGCAAAGTTCACCGGATCAAGCTTTTACATGTATGTATTGACCTCTGATCCATCTCACGTTTCCAAAATGGTAAATTAATGCTTTGCCTTACCAGCAGTGAAGTATGTCTCGGAGTGTCTTTATTTTAACTTTGATTCCAGTTATGTGTTTTTGTCTGATATTTTTGGTTGTGAAAACTCGGGAGTGAAACTTTGGATATCATGCCTATACAGCATAACTGTGAAACCTATACAGAAATATTGTTTTCCTATTGAAGGCTCTTTATTTACAAGTGTTTACTCAATTGATTTAACTTTGTATTTCTCTACTCTTTGGTTCTTTCTGTAAAGTCACGGTATAAAATAAAATAAATCACGCCGTTTCGGGCGCAACACAAGCATCCATCATCAGGTGGGAAAGCATGGTCTGCTGCTGAGGCAGACTGTTTTAAAAGGTTTGAAATGGGTGTAGCCCAAGGGTCATAAAGAAGTGGGCGGGGCTAGTGATGTTAATGCGAGAAATTAGCATGTAACTGTAAGATGGGAGAGCGGCCTCCTCGACGAGGGCACAGAAGTGGCTATGTTAATGTGAGAGATTAGCATGTTAATGTGAAAACGAAGAGTGGTACAATCCAAAGGGCATGTGAGCATGAGAGTGCAATCCAAAGGCATGAGAGTGCAATGCAAAGGACATGTGAGCATGAGAGATCTAAGAGAGAGGCATAGAGAGAGAGACAGAGAGTCTGAAATAACAGCTGACATAGGCAGGTAGGACTTTACCTGGTTAATAACGTCCTTCCAATGATTGATCATTTTGTACCCATCCTCGGTTGAAGTTGTGTTTGTGTTTATATATCTGGGTGGCTTCATGAACATATCTCTGAAGGTAGCTGTTAGGCTTGCAGAGTACCTCCGTCTTGGAAAAATCTATTTCATGTGAGCCCACAGCGTTAAAACAATGATCAGCAATGGAAGAGGTATTGGTCCTACCGTGTTTCAGATCTGCCTTGTGTTCACAAATGCGATCCGAGACATGTCGTTTCGTTTCCCCAATGTAACTGCTGCCGCAACCACAACTCAGTTTGTAGACACCAGGGTATTGCATGTCAGGAATCACATCCTTTACAGATGGGATTAAATCACGAATTTTGTGTACTGTGTTGAAACGAACCTGGATCTTGTGTTTGTTTAAGATTTTGGAAATCTTTTTGGCAACCCCTCCTATGCAAAGTAAAGTGATGGTTTTGGTTAGATCCTCAGAAGGTTGTCTCCGCATGACTGGGGAGACAGCTTTGTGGATTGTACGGTCCCAGTATCCGTTCATCCTGAGGGCTTTGTGTACGTGCTCCAACTCACTGGCTAGGTGGTGCTGGTCGGAGATGCAACGGGGGCCCTATGGTGTAGTTTTTTGATGAGGGAATTCTTCTGGGCTGGATGGTGATGGGAGTCAGGCTTTTTAGATAGGCATCCATGTGGGTGGCTTTCCTGTATACCGAATGTCCCAACGAGCCATCAGGTCTCTTCTCGATCAAAACATCCAGGAATGGTAGCTTGCCATCCTTTTCCACTTCCATGGTGAATTTGGTAGACGGGTGTATGGAATTGATGTGGTTGAGAAATTGGTTCACTGCTGGCAGGCCATGTGGCCAGATGACGAATGTGTCATCCACGTATCTCTTCCACAAGGAAGGACGTAGGGTGGATGTCTGGATGGCATCTGTCTCAAATTTATCCATGAAAACATTTGCTACCACTGGCGATAAGGGAGAACCCATTGGGGTACCCTCATTTTGTTTGTAGAATGTACCATTCCAGGTGAAGTATGTGTTGGTAAGGCAATGCCTTACCAAAGTTGGTACATCAGCATTCAGTCCTTGTTGGATCAAGTCTTCAATTATTGCAATGTTGTCAAGTACAGGTACATTGGTGAACATAGAGACTACATCGAAACTGACAAGCAAATCATCTGGAGACAGTGAGATGTCCTTGATTAGAGAAACCAAGTGAGCTGAGTTAAGTACAGCTGAGGTGGACTTGCCCGTGAAAGGAAGCAGGGTCTCAGAAAGAAATCGGGCCAGTTGAGTTAATGGTGGAGACGATAGGATGGTGCGGGGTACCTACTTTGTATTTCTCATTTCACAGAAGCAAACGATTCCCTTATAAATCTAAATATATGTCTACTTATTCTTTGGGTATTTCGGTAAAGTCACCTAGATGGTTCAAAGAAAATAACAAAAACTATGACGTTTCGATCCCAACACAAGCGATGGTCATCAGGAGGAAAGAGGGATGACTCACTGACGATCGCTTGTGTTGTGATCGAAACGTCGTTTTTTGCTACTTTCTTTAAACCATCTACGTGACTTTACCAAAAGACCCAAAGAATATTAATTCCTGCAGTCACGGAAGCTTTAAGTCAAGATTTATATGTTTACTTTTTCAGTTTTCAGTCTCATTTATTAGGATTTACCCTGTGAGCCATTCGGCTCTTGATTTGGTTGCAACCGCAACAAACAATAAAATTACAAGATACACCTAAAATTAATTGTACACAAATCTAAACATCACATACATAAACAATAAAATCCATGCTGCATGCAAAAAGTGCAAAAAATTCCATTTCGATGTTTGATCCCAATAACAATCATAATACAATACAGATCAAAATTTTAAGTATAAATCTATACTAAATTAAAAAAATCGGGCCAAACCAAGCCGCTCTAAAACTTACTACAACAATGCTATATAAACAACGTAACAGTTTTCCCAACAAATGTGATTAAAAGTTTACAATAGCGACACACACAACACACATCACTAAACCTAGCATCCTTCGCTAGCTGCATAAGTCAATCCATAACAGCCGGATTAACAATAGCAGTAGCAGCGCACTATAATAAAAATACATAATAATTTCATACATTGGTCATCTATAGCTATATTTATTTCAGGCCACAGGATAGCAGTGGCAGCGATGGTTGTACGACTCCTCTAGAGCATTTTTTAGTGATTGTCTTGTTGGTAATGATCCAAGCTGGAGTTTATTTGCGATAGCATTCCAGACCCTGGGGGCATCTATAGCAAAAGCCCTTTCTCCAGTATTTGTACGGCAATTAGGAATGCGAAGCTGGTAAATGAGCGAAAATCTTAGCTCATATTTGTTTTCCGAAACAATGAGGAGATCCAGCAGGTAATCTGCGGATTTTTTTGTAAGTACATCGTAAATAAATAATATCTGATGCATAAGACGTCGATAATTAAGAGATGTTAAGTTTGACCCCCAATGTAGAAATCGCAGTGGTGGGTCCTATATGGGCAGTTCAATGCAAATCTTAAGGCCGAGTGATATATTGAGTCAAGCTTCTTCAGAACAGTACTGGGTGCTGATTTATAAACTTGTAAATTATTTGCCAGGCATGACTCGATTAATGATCCTGTTTTGTGGTGCATTGCTGTGGCCTCAGGATGAGTGCTTCCATTCCGTCGTAAGCCACATAGCTATCACCTGCGAGGTGGAGCCTGCGAGGGTGAGCCTCTTCCTACAAGAAAAGGAGATCTCTCCCACTGACACCCCCTTGTCAGTCCAGCTGTCCATCACCGACATTATCGGTGAGTCACACTGGCACGTACTGCATGCACCTGTTGCTTTCCACTCGCTCTACACATTAGCGGACTGTGGTTTTCACAATCATGAATATTTTTTAATCGCCATGTCTTCGGGTTTCTTCTCTACATATGAGTGACACTTGAAACTTGGTAACATTATACATGAATTCGCATGAGCCACGGCAGAGAACATTGAAGCCCATTTGATCTTGACCACTGAGGCGTTATTTTGTACACTGAATAATATATGATGTTTCCACCTTTATTACAGAATGCATCATCACAAAATCAGCCCTGGCTCGAGAAGGACCCACACATAAGCCTGCTAATGCCATCGCTCTGAAAGTGCAGAGCAAAGAGAAAAACTCAATCCAGATTATAACCATCGGCAAGGTATGAAGTCCTTTGTTCGACACAAACTAGCACTAAATTGAATTTTGTCTCAAAGTTAAATGTTTATCATTGCATAGTCTGATTTCTTTGAAACATTCCTTGAAGTTTATAAAAAAATAATATATTATTGTGCCCCCTCCATGTTATATTAAGTTTATAAAGCAAATGCTGTCTAATTTACACCACAATTTCATTGTGCACTCGAGTTGTCTAAACTTTACATTTATATGCCTCATAGCACGATGCTGATAGCACAGTTGGGATACAATTTAAAATGACAGCTGCTTAGGACAGCTACTTAGGACTGCTTGGGACATTTCTCCCACTCAATGCTTAAGATGCATTGCTCAAATTTGACAGGCTCATTATGAATACTGAAGATATGTAAACTACACGTGATAATGTCAATACCAATTTACTTTTAACAGTAATAGTTTAATGCAGAGGATGTCTACCGTGGTGGACATGGGGAGATAAGTAATACTGTACTTGGTGTTTGCTTGTTAATGGAAGTCTGCAGCATGCTATGAAACTGAGTGCACGTGAGCTGTTAAGGGGACCCTTAAAAGCACTGAGCGCAGTTTTATTATCCAGATGCATACGCACAACCGGATGTCGGTGCATGTGTGCTCTTTATTTATGCATGGGCGCAACTACATATTTGCAGCTGTGGATATATCTTTTGTTAATTATTTGTAGGTAAACTTGCACATTTCTTCAGCAAAAAAAATCATCACTTTTCTATAGCACGGTTTTATCTTTAATTTGACATCAAGGTGGGGCTTGTGGTTGCAGCAGAGATAGGAATACAGAGAAATATAAATGTGGAATATAGTAGTCTCCCCCTATGGAAGAAGCTAAAAAAACAAAGAAATAGCAATTAGCCCCTAAACTACAGTTTATATTTAGAAAACAAAATATAGTGTGCTTTTTAATGATTTCAAACTTAGCTTGAAAGCATGAATACATTAGCTCTGTCTGTAACATGTCACAATAATTATTATAAAGATCATCCAATATAAATGCAATGTTACTATAAGGTTGTGTTGCTATTCGGGACTTAACCGAGAGGAAACCAGCAAAATGTATCAATCTTTTTTTAAACTCATTTTTGTCTGTCTGTCTGTCTGTGTATGTACACACCTTTGTGACGCTTTTAACTGACAAACTGTGGGGTTTACGTATCAAAAAAGTACCCAGATAGCAGGCAATAAGCCCCGGGACAAAAAAGCGCTATTCGTTTTTACCATCCGTCAAGTTTAAAGGAGTTAAATTAACAATTTATTCCTTTTATACGCTGAGGGCAGCGCCAAAGCATGCATCTGCACATGCGTGAGAACGCTGACTCGGTGGGGACAGGGAAAAATTCTCATTCACGTTCGAAACGCAAAAAAACAAAACACTAAGGTAAATTCTTCAAAGTGTGATGTTCTCCCCCCCCCCACCCCAATGTGTGCAGTTACTACTATAGAGTCGGTATGTACGACTATAGAGTCGGTAGATACTACTGTAGAGTTAGTAGATACTGCTATAGATTCAATAGATACTATTATAGAGTTAGTCGATACCACTACAGTCAGTAGGTACTACCATAGTATATACTGCTATCAAGTCGATAGATACTACTGCAGTCAGTAGAAACTACTGTAGTCACTAGATACTATAGAATCAGTAGTTACGACTATAGTTGGTAGATACTACTATAGAGTTAGTAGCTACTACTATAGTCAGTAGTGTATACTACTGTAAAGTTAGTAGATACTGCTATAGAGTCGATAGATACTATTATAGAATCGATAGATCCTATTATAGTTGGTAGATACTACTGCAGAGTCACTAGATACTACTATAGAGTCAGTAGTTACGACTATAGAGTCGGTATATACTATTGTAGAGTCGGGAAATGCTACTGCAGTCGGCAGATGCTACTGTAGAGTAAGTAGATACTGCTATAGAGTCAGCAGATACTACTATAGAGTTAGTAGTTACTACTATCGTCAGAAGATACTACAATAGAGTAAATAGATACTACTATAGATTCAGTAGATACTACTGTAGAGTCAGTAGTTACTACTATAGTCGGTAGATACTACTATGAGTCGTATATAATACTACAGTCAGTAGATACCACTATAGTCACTATATACTGCTGCAGTCAGTAGATATGACTATAGAGTGAGCAAGATACTGCTGTAGAGTCTGCAGATACTACTATAGTCAGCAGATACTACTGTAGAGTCAGTATTTACTACTATAGAGTTGATTGATACTACTATAGAGTCGGCAGATACTATTATAGTCAGTAGATACTACTACAGTCAGTAGATACCACTACGGTCAGTACATACTACTATAGAGTCAGCAGATACTACTGTAGCGCCATATTCTACTGTAGCGCCAGATACTACTATAGAGCCACTAGATACTACTCAATATATTTTATGTAGGGTGTGTAGGTATATATGACTATGGGGGGGTAAAATATTTTTTGAGGGGGGGGGGGTCGACAATTTTCGGAAACCTTTTAGATCAACTATTTACCCCCCACTTTCTAATTATTTTTGATTCGGGACTTCTATAAGCCGCTTATATTTTGTTGACGGGCAAATGGACAAACGGAATGCCGGGCTTTCACAATAGCTTAGTATTTGTACATGTTATGTTTTTAAGAGAAGACAAGTTTTGTAATATATTTTTTCCCCGGGCAACGCCGGATACTTCCTGCTAGTAGTTTATAAAATTGTGGCTATAAATACCAGTGCAAATAGGATTATCCTTGGTGACCAAGGCGATGTAATTTCGTGCGACATTTCTTCACATCACACTGCGGATGATGCTTGACATTTCCATCTTGTGCGGCTTAATATCTAACTTCATTTTTGGTAATTAAACACCAGATTAAGTTGGGAAACAGTACATAATGTGCGAGTATGCATTATTTTCTCCCCTTGTATAAAAGCTGAAGATAAATTCCATGGTGGTGACATCCTTATCCCTTAAATCCAGACGGAGCCCCTGAGCGTGTTGATGGAGAAGTACACAGCGTTGGTGGGGTCAGGCAAGCAACGCTTGGTGTTTGTGCTTGACGGAGCGGACCTTGACGGCACCAGCACGCCCCACGAACTCGACCTGGAGGATGGCGACCTCATCGATGTGCGGGTCATGTGATGGAAAATGATTGGTAATATACGCCATTACGTAGACTTCAAACTGTCGCTGCTGAATTGTGTGCCCAACCAAGGCAAGGTTGGATTTTAATTCTGAAGTTTTGCCATCGACCCCACGAGTATCAGTGTTGTGCTGGAGAACGAATGTTTACCAGTCATAATCAGCCTCTTTCATTACTATTTTTGGTTCTTCAAGAATATGAATCCCTGCAGTCACAAAAGCTTTAAATCGAAATTTATTTCAATACTGTTTGTTGTTAAATTTAACCACATTAATCAGAACCACATACCATAAACAGCCAAAATATAACTAAAACTACAATTTAAGCTCAACCACAAATCAAAATATAATTGCAACCACATTGTTACTATAACCATAAGCACAACAACCTGATAACCATCACAATCCAATCACAACCACCATATATAGTAATAGGTTTTACCCTTTTAACTGGCACAAAAAAAACCTGACACCTTTATTCAAGGCATCATGTCTGCAATAACCACAACACAAGCAGTCAAAATGCAAACAAAAAGACAACTCTGATAATAATATGCACTGTCCTTGAATTTGATTGGTCCACACCCGAGACGGCTTTCTTTAGAGCCTAGTCTCCACTGGCGTTGGACCAGAAGACGCCAAAAGGCGTACAACTCAAAAACAGCACACTGTCAGAGTATTGAGGGCCCGGGGTGAGCTGTTTTTGAGTTGTACGCCTTTTGGCGTCTTCTGGTCCAACACCAGTGGAGACTAGGCTCTAAAGAAAGCCGTCTCGGGTGTGGACCAATCAAATTAAAGGACAGTGCATATTATTATCAGAGTTGTCTTTTTGTTTGCATTTTGACTGCTTGTGTTGTGGTTATTGCAGACATGATGCCTTGAATAAAGGTGTCAGTTTTTTTGTGCCAGTTAAAAGGGTACAACCTATTACTATATCTTGTTACTGGCAAAGGAGGTCTCATAATGTAAACCACCATATAACCACAACCATAACTACATTACAACTATTACCACACTAGATTTGAAGTTTTCGTGACTGCAAGGATTCATACTCTTTGTTTTTTTCGGTAAAGTCATGTAGGTAAAATAAAATAAAACAACTAAATTAAATCACAACGTTTCGGAGGCAACACAAGCTTCCGTCTTCAGGTGAAACAGTCACAGAAGAATCGCTGTACCAAGTGGGGAGCCCTTGAGACGACCGGGATTATATACAGGTTAAGAGGGGGGGGGGGAGGAGCCAGAAAGGGACGTGGGTGGGGGAAGGAGCCAGAAAGGGACGTGGGTGGGTGGGAGGGCTGAGTTAAGCAGCCTTTTGTTATGCTGCAGGGGGTTCGGGGGAAGAGATACACGAGTACATACAACTCACTGAAAGCAATGGCAATGGCTGTACAATTATAAGGCAGCTAAAGTTTGACTTGGTTTATAACATCTTTCCAATGGTTGCTTAATTTGAAACCATCCTCTCGGTTGAAGTTGTGTCTATGTTTGTATATCTGGATGGCTTCATGGACACATCTTTGGTAATAACCGGGAGGTTTGCAGAGAACTTTGGTATCAGAGAAAACAATGTCATGAGAACCCGCTGTGTTGAAACAATGATGAGCCACGGCCGAAGAATTCGTTCTGCCGTGTTTCAAATCTGATTTGTGCTCGCGGATTCGGTCAGAAATATGTCGTTTCGTCTCCCTGATATAGCAGTCACCACAGGTACAACTCAATTTGTAAACACCGGGGTACTGTAAGTCAGGAATGACATCCTTTACGGATGGGATCAGATCACAGATTTTGTGTACTGTATTGAACCGGACCAGCATCTTGTGTTTGTTTAGAATTTTGGAAATCTTTTTGGTAACGCCTGCTATGTATGGTAACGTGATGATACTCTGACCGTACTATTCGCCAAGCTGTTTCTCCCACCATACAGAAACAACCACCTGATACTCCGATGAAAATCATCCCGTTACCATACATAGGCGTTACCAAAAAGATTTCCAAAATTCTAAACAAACACAAGATCCAGGTCCGGTTCAATACAGTACACAAAATCCGTGATCTGATCCCATCCGTAAAGGATGTCATTCCTGACTTACAGTACCCCGGTGTTTACAAATTGAGTTGTACCTGTGGTGACTGCTATATCAGGGAGATGAAACGACATTTCTAACCGAATCCGCGAGCACAAATCAGACTTGAAACACGGCAGAACGAATTATTCGGCCGTGGCTCATCATTGTTTCAACACAGTGGGTTCTCATGACATTGTTTTCTCTGGTATCAAAGTTCTCTGCAAACCTCCCAGTTATACTGGTAGGAACGAAGTTGTACACTGAGTGTACCAGCCTGCAATAGATTAATGTGTCCGTCCGTCTGTCCCCTTTCAATACTTTAACGAAGTGAAATCTCGTGCTGTTGGGGTGTAAAAATAAAATTGCGCAAAATTCCAATGTTCCTACCAGCCCACCCTGCAGGGACCTGTTTACCAAAGATTTGTCCATGAAGCCATCCCGATATACAAACATAGACAACTTCAACCGAGAGGATGGTTTCAAATTGAGCAACCATTGGAAAGATGTTATAAACCAAGTCAAACGTTAGCTGCCTTATAATTGTACAGCCATTTCCATTACTCTCAATGAGTTGTATGTCAAATTAGCTGCCTTATAATTGTACAGCCATTTCCATTACTCTCAATGAGTTGTATGTCAAATTAGCTGCCTTATAATTGTACAGCCATTTCCATTACTCTCAATAGGTTGTATGTCAAACTTTAGCTGCCTTATAATTGTACAGCCATTGCCATTGCTTTCAGTGAGTTGTATGTACTCGTGCATCTCTTCCCCCGAACCCCCTGCAGCATAACAAAAGGCTGCTTAACTCAGCCCTCCCCCCCACCCACGTCCCTTTCTGGCTCCTCCCCCCCTCTTAACCTGTATATAATCCCGGTCGTCTCAAGAGCTCCCCACTTGGTACAGCGATTCTGCTGTGACTGTTTCACCTGAAGACGGAAGCTTGTGTTGCCTCCGAAACGTCGTGATTTAATTTAGTTGTTTTCTTTCATTTTATTTTACCTACGTGACTTTACCGAAAAAAACAGAGTATTGCCACACTATAACCACAACCATGACCACAAAAATTAGTACGAAATCACAACCATAAGGACATTCTAACCACAACTGCAACCATAAGCACATCATAATCACAGCCATAACTGCATTCTAACCACAACCTCGGCACGTGCGTGTGCCTGCCCCCACCCCTTCCGTTAAAATGTTCTGCATCGTGTTTGGAAGATTCAGAGCATGAAAAATGAACGAGCCTTATAAAGTATATATGTATAGATCGATTTTTTTTTATTTTACCATCGAACCTTTTGGGTTTTGTTTGGACCTCAAATAGCTGCTTTCTACCAGCACTTTCCCCTACTGTGTACAAGGCTAACTAACACTTTGACATGTATCACCCTGTGCTCTTGCATCAGATGCTGGCAGCTCCTGATTGAGCCATCAGGGAATGTGTCTGATGTGAATGTTGTAAGTGACCAAAATGACACTGAATAACATTTATGGATGCTGATATGTTACAGCTTTTAGTGGTTTACTCCCAACATAAGTCTGTTGTTTTCCTAAACAAGTTCAAAATCTCAAGTATGCAATTATGTAACGGTTTTATGACCTCTTATACTTTAAATAAATAAACATTGACAAGCCTGTCACCGTATTTTATACATGATCCTTATGGCGAGGCAATTAAATATTTTATTTCTGGGACACTATTTTTTCCCAGGTGTGTACTTAACTCCGCGACTGGGGGTACCAATCAATCCGAAATAAGTGCTACTCCGCGATGTCTATACGCAGCGAGGACGATTGTGCTGAAACCCTGAACGCTCGTACGCACCGTAGTGCATCGTGTACAGCTCGTCGACCATCAACAGACTAAAAATGACTGCATCACAGGGTACCGCCATAAGGTTCACATGTATAATACAGTTATCTGGTTAAACAAACCCTGAAACCTGAGTCCGTACTCGTATTAAATTCTGAACACAATCGTTACAGTTATCGAATTTCACAAGCTTTACCCCGTTTATGGCAATGACTTTTCTCCCAAGCACTGGGTTTTGTGTGTTTTTTCTCCCCTTCGTACTTACATTGCAATTTTGGTAGCAGCTTCATCGTCCTTCGTGTGAAGAGACACACTTTCACTTGCAAAATGTTTTCGTCGACAGTGAAGCATATTTAATGGCATTTGGAAGTTGACATAACTATTTCTGTGGTCCCAACAATTGCTTCTTCATTACACAAGATGCTGCACTTTCTCACATGTCCTGTAAGAGCTGTTTGTCGAATGATAATAAAACAATGTGTTTTAGTTCACAGAGCTTGAATACAAGTGAAACACTTAAATTGTGGAGGGTTTTATGCAGTCATTGGTTATGGGGCTGAGGCGAGATGTTAATTCCCTTGCCTGGTATGCAGGATGTCGTGAGTTCGATCCCAACTTTTGACACCTATGTATTTGGAGTTTGTATTATCTCCCTATGGTCGTGTTGATTTTTCTCCGTATCCTCCGGGTTTTCCCCTCCGCATTTGGAAACATGCATTAGATTATTTCGCTGCTATACATTTCCACTTAAGTCACTTCGTTGAGCTATCATTTTGTGGCCTGGTTGCGTATGAAAAATCGCTATCTAGCTCAGTGGGCCTGAGCTGGCAAAATAAAAACAGCAATCTATCCAGAAACAACAACAAACTAAATTTGTCAATAACATTACCTTAAAAGGTTACAATCGGCATTTTTTTGGCCATGGCCCTTGATAGCGCAACACTTTCAAAACTAAAGTGTTGGTCATCTTGGCCACTTCCCTTTGGAATAAATGTTTAGCCATTTATATAATTATTTTTTCAGTAAAAGTGGTTTCCTGCTCAAGTGAGCGTGAGGTAGCATTCATCTGTTAGGGTTAGACCTGAGTGGAAATTCAACATTCTTTTCGATAACGTTCCACAATAGTACAGTACTTAACATTATTGATCCAGGAAAGATGGTAAACTTGAGTCGACCCGCGGCTCGGATTTATGTACAAAAACAATTATACCTGCATATATGCGCATACAACCCAAACATACAGTATATCGGCAGTATGTATATAGGGTTAGGGCATGTCCCTGCCTGCCCGCGCATCTCACTACTCTCCACGCACTCTCCTACGCCACCGCTCTCATCTCACTCCACTCCTATTTTCCAGCCTCCCATCGCTCTACTCCCCTCCGCGCACTCGCCGACCTCTTCCTCTCTCATCCGACTCTACCAACCTCCACGCGCTCCGCACCAGCAACCAAGTTCTTTCTCTTAAAGTCCTCGGGTCGTTCTTCTATGTTGCCCTCATAGCCTGGAACTCCCTTTACCCCCCCCCCCCCAAGCCATCCGTGCTGCTGACCTCCGACTCCTATTCAAGTCATTACCTCCCCCTCTACCTGTGACAGAGTTACCTGGATTTTGAAGTAAACGTGCCCAACTGCGTCTGTGCGGCGTCAGGAGATGCGGGCGCATTTCGGCAGGGCTGTGTAAATCAACATGGCATTGTATATTGAGACAGGTTTTACGACTTTTCCACCAAACCCTTTTCAAAGTCCTCGCGGGAAGGCAATTCAATCCGCACGGAGCGTCGCTTGGCACTCATCGCCCGTCCACCTCTCATCACTCACCGTGAGCCCTCTCGTGTAACCTCAGCCAAGGCCCGGCAGATGCTGGTTACACTGTGCGGAAAAAAATTAAAAATAAACTTACAGTGCGGGTCAACACGTTAAAAACCACCAACCAAATAGCAGCGTCATTGCACCGCTACCATCATTCGCCGGCAGCATTGCAACCGTTCACCAGGCTACTTACTACCAAGAAGCCGTGCCCCGGCTCACTCGCCAACCTCGGGATAAGATTTGTTGATCATCTCCCAGCCGTACGAAGGAAGAAGTGTTTCAAGTCAACGGGTCTCGATGTGAGTCTATGGGTGTTTCGCTCTGTGAGGCTGTGTATTTTTTATGTGACTGGTTTCTGCGAGTCGATGGGTCCTCTGTGGTCAAATTGGTGCTTGTCTGCGGATCTCCGTGTATGAACCTCTTAAGTTCCATACCTGTCAACCCATACAGTTTTACACGTATTCTTGTACAGGGAAATTTAGTTTAAAAAAAATCGTCTTTGTCTTTTTCCCTTGTATTGGGACTTTGTAGGATGAACTCTGAGATTTATAAGGGGCATGGGGTGACCAATAAGGTCTGAATTGGTCTGTAATAAGGTTGGGCACTGATAAGGGGTTGACAGAGATGTATTACGTTCATATGTATATACTTGTGCTGTACGTGTACTGTATCTCAATCCACGGACCACACAGTAAGGGCCGATTCATGGTTTCGCCCGCAACGATTAAGATACTCACCAGGCTACTCCTCGGGCACGGCGCATCGTTACAGAAACACGGCGAACGTACAAAACACCGCCAACGAACCAATTGGACCACCACCACCGTGGGTGAGCGGGGAAACCAGAGAGGTTCACGCGACACCACAACGAGCGGTAACGGGAATGGTAGTTGGAGGAACAGAATAAGAAGAGGGGTTGGTGGGAGGGGGGGAGTCCATCTGTCTCTCTATCGCCTCCTCCGCTCGGAGGCTCCGCGGGTTACAAGAGGCGGGGTTCTACAGAGAAGGAACTTCACCGCCCTGCCGCTATTAAAGCCCCCTTCCACAGCTGGTCGCCATTCTCGCAAACACGTGCGTGCGTGGCGTCCCGACGAAGCGAGGACACGACCCTCGTCGCAACTTCCTCCGGCATTCCGAGGTGAGATCGCGTCGCTTGCAGCCAGCCGAGCTAAAGCTAAACAGCTGCAGGCACTATTTGTCCCCGACTTTTTGGCCGCGTTCTATTAATACAGATGACTTTCATCCAATGGCTGTCAATCGGGCGGTTGAGCGTGGTAAACAAAACTTGTTATATTCTTGGTTCTTTCGGTAAAGTCACGTAGAAGGGGAAACAATAAAATAATAAAAATGTTCTATAAAGAACCAAGAATATGAATCCCTGCAGTCACGAAAGCTTTAAATAAATAAAAACTATTGTGTATAATGTTGGGTATGACGAGGACAACCCCCCCACACACACGTCTCACATTTTGCACAGGCAAGGGACCTTGACCGTGACATTTTGCAATTCCACAGCGTTGTTTCAACCCTGGTTGTTGATGAAACGCGAAATGTCGAAACCAACCCAGTGTTTTGCTTGCGTTAAACCGCCGTGGCTTTAATAGAAAGCGTGCGTATGTTGCGATGAAGACGCGTTAGTTATAATAGGGTTTTTTTGTGTGTACCTTTTCAGGCCAGTATTTCCCCTTTAAGGGCAATCTCCAATGCCGTGATACTACTGGCGATTGTGTTGAGTGGGGGGGGGGTTGCATGAATTGTGGCACCACGGCCATCGCAACGGCATCACCAAAACACGCGCCAGCGGCGTTCCTCTGTCCTTCCAGAGGCCTCGAGACAAAAAAATTCCACAATGAAATGAAAGTGGCGTACAGAAGTGTCGCGTACAGAAGTGTCGCGTACAGAACCGTTCGCCGAATGACGGCGGCGCCCGCGCGATTGAAAACCGCGTGGCGCACTCGCCTTACCCCCCGGGGCTCCCTTGCCAAGCTCGCTGCTGGTTTTATTTGTTTTGTTGTGTGTGTGTGTCGCACACGATCTCCATCCCTGCGCCGGTGAAGTCATCAAGAAGGCGCGCAGCGAAACAACTTTGCTGCACGGAGAGGCACAAAACAAAAACGCGCGCTCCAAATGAAACCGTGACAACCACAAGGAGCCGTGACCCCAGACGCATCCACCGCGTGACCGGACGCGCGCTTCAATGCGACTGCGCTGGACAACAACAACAATAACAAATCCGTAGAGGTGCAATGGGCGCGCATGTTCAAGTCTCGAGGATGTCCCGTGACTACTTAGCGGATTCTCGCAGCGTCGTTTATTGTGTACCTGTGTTCAATTCACCTCCGTTTTGATTGCGATGCAACCGGCTGCTGCTGCTACAATTCTCGTGTTAAAGAGTCGGTTCCGCGAGTTTGTTCGTCTTCATTCACAGCCTTTCTTTAACAGCTGGAAACTAATCACAATTTATCAGAGGTCATGACTATTAATTAACACACTGCGGGGGTGTTCGTGAAGTGGTGTGCATTAGCCTGGTGCCGACTGCACGAATTTGGTAACCCCCCACCCCCCCACTTCCTCCGAAAGTGGACTCGTCCGTGTCTGGGCGGCAGGTGATGAAGTGTCAGGAGGTCCCTTGGCTTCGTGCGGTGCTCGCCACTGCTTCTTTGGCGGCGGGGGGGAGGGGGATTTTCCCAGGGGGGGATTTTTCCCAAGGGGGGGATTTTTCCCATGGGGGGGTTATTCCCGGGGGGGGGAATTTTTTCCCAGGGGGGGGGGGTTATTCCCAAGGGGGGGTTCCCGGGGGGGGGGGGGTTATTCCCAAGGGGGGGTTCCCAGGAGGGGGGATTTTCCCCAGGGGGGGGATTTTTCCCAAGGGGGGGGGGTTGCCCAGGGAGGGGATATTTCCCAGGCAGTGGAACCACCGAAATTGAACTCCATGGGGTTGACATGTACGCAATGGGCGCAAGTCGACGAGTCAACAGGCGAGGCCTGACAACGCGAGGCACGCGATACGAACACCGCACGGCACAATGCAATGGGCATGATTATGTTTGTTGAACTTGTTTCCGTGCTAATCGGAGGTGCGGGGAATAACGACAAGCTAAACAGAAAAATCAGTTATAAAGAATTTCGATTTATTTTATTATGTTTTATTTTATTATTTTATTTCCATTCTACGTGACTTTACCGAAAGAACCAAGAAGAAGTTATAAAGAAGTTCGTTTTCAATTCTAGATTTAACAATGCATAGCCCAAGTGTTTTTTTTAAATATACACACGAGACACAATGCAACACGCACGGCGCGTGAAATACAAATGACGCAATACATCACAAAACACAATGCAATACTGTACACAAGACACTCAACAATACCCCACAGCACACGGTTACATACAACGCATGACACACGTTCATACACAAGACTGAAAACAACACCACTGACCACACAGAAGACAGCAGCGAACACATAACCGCATCAGCAGCTGCAATTCGGTACACAACTGACGCCTGTCAAAACAATACAAGCCCCCAATTGCGATTCTAACGCACACACACACACGGGCAATGTGAGGTCCAATTCCCACGTGCCTTGACGTGCCCCCCACGTATTGGGTAGCGTCTTTTAGACATGACGTGGGGGTGATGGCTTTTCACGTGGAATCCCCGACAGCCCTCACCTGCACAGGTGGGTCAGCCTTCACGTCTCACCTATACAGGTGAGACACCCCCTCCTTGCACAACTACAGGTAACTTCCATCTCGACTCGCCCAGGCTTATTCAGAATCCAGACCCTAAGAGCCCACATTTTGTACAGGTGAGTCACCCCTCAGTTGTTGCAGGCGATCTATATTTGAAGTTTTCGTGACTGCAGGTTATCCATGCTCTTTGGTTCTTTCGGTAAAGTCGCGCAGGTAGAAAATAAAATAAATTAAATCGCGACGTTTCGATCGCAAAACACAAGCAATCATCATCAGGTGGGGAAACCTCTTACCACGGAATCTCTGTCCCACTTCAGCAAAAACATTTCTTGCTGTGGTTTTCCCACCTGATGATGTTGTAGGCGAGTCCCCACTCGGCCGTATCGGTGATCCATCCCCTCCGTCTGTCTCTTGTGTTCTCTCAAGAATCCCCGACCGAGCCACGATGGAGGCGCGGGACACTGGGGCGGCATTGACAAATGCGTACCGGGGTCTGGCCGCGGGGGGCTGCTCCCTGCAGCCCGTGCAGGAGCACTTCCCCGGGAGCGAGGCGAGAAGCTTCCTGCTGCAGCACAAGGCCAAGACCTGGGATGAGCCAGACATGATCAACCCCGCGTCCTCCTCCGCCTCCCTGTGTCTCCCCTCCTCCTCCTCCTCGTCACTGTCCACCACGTCTTTCCACCGGGTTGTCATCACGGGAGACAGCGCCGCGGATGTTACCTGGGTTGGTGCGGCAGACCCCCCCCCCCCCACCCCCCCCCCCATCGCGTTTCTGTCAATGAACCAACCAATTAAATCATCTTAGATTTGAGATTTAGGCAGCCTTGCTTAAAATTCAAATTTAAAATTTACTCGAGTATGAGAAGCAGTCACACCTGAATACAGTTCAAAGATGAATTTATCCAGTTCCGTACAACAAAAAAACAATAATAAAACCCCACTACTTCGCAAATAAAAAATGAATATATAAATAACTAGAAAACATGCACATAACAAGAAAAAATAATCGCTGATAAAATACATTAAAATAAATCCGTTCGGTCCTCATACCCCAGACCACAATCTCAAACATTTTCCGATAGAGCACGTTATTGATTTAATCCCTGCAAGGCAGAGGAGACATACATATTTTCCTCAGTCCCTTAGGTCTCACCCCGGGGAGACGGAGAGGTGGGGTTCTTTGTGTGTGGATATAGGGGCACCACGGTGACACGTGGGGAGCGGTAGTGTAGCGGTTAGCGCGCTGCGCTATGAACCCGGCAACCCGAGTTCGATTCCCGCTCACGGCCAACACCAGTGACGATTATCTGAACCGGTTCTGGGCCTCCCCTAGGTCGACTCAGCCTCAAATGAGTACCTGGTGCGGTGTGTAAACATCGCCACTGGGGAGACAAAGGCGGTCGGGCGTGGTGCTGGCCACCCACCCCCTCGTGTACCGTTGCGGCCTTCATAGGTGCTCGCTAACAGTCTGTTAAGGCTATACGGGGGATCTTTGTCTTGCCACGGTGACAAGGAGATGTTAACTTCCTCGCCTGGTATAGAGGAGGTCGTGGGTTCGATCTCGACCCCGATGCCTGTATATTTTAATTTTGCATGTCTCCCCTCTCCCTGTGGTCGCATAGATTTTTCTCCGGGTCCTCCGGTTTTTCCCTCCACATTTAGAATCATAGCTGCTGCTATAAATTTCCATATGATAAACCACTTTGTTGGGCTATCATTTGTGGCCAGATCGCTTCTGAAAAAGCTACATAGCTCAGTGGGTAAAATAAATCAAAGTTTCGTGTTAATAGTTATACCGACTCCAATCATCCTGCCACCCCCACCACCCTCAGCATTTGTTCCATTTGCTTCATCAATGTCCATGTCTCTGATGTGGCATAGCAAGGAATATACACAGATTGAACATGGTACAGTGGATGGTAAATATAGCCGAATAATATATTCACCACATAGGATTTACTGATGACCGTAATTACAGCAATGGGAACAATAACTACAGTTAATTATCGATGAACATAACAGAGAGAGCAGAAAGTTGGGTTAAAAGGAATTGTGACCAAAAGAGTCATGCAAAAGTTTGCTCAACAAAGGCAAATACTGTAATTGAGGGACAGCAGTGGAAAACACAACAGTGAATGAATACCGAGGGAAATTATTTATTACAGACGATCTGCTCGCAAAGACAATCACCAGCCATGATCAATCCACTGCTAGATGAAGGCCTCTTTTAAGTTGTCTGCTCACAGAGACGTCCTCTGCGCCCACCACCTGCCCTCTCCTGTCCCAGGTGAGGCCAGCCGAGCTGCAGGACATTGCGGCCAAGCTGATGGGAGCAATGCGAGCGCGGCAGCAGCGCATGGTGGCCTCACTGCAGCGTTTCCCACGCACCGCCACACGCTTCCTGCGGCCGCCGGGAGACAAAGTTGACTGTGGCATGGAAGACGGCCTGCCCAACGGTTACCCAGGTGCGCGCGGCGAGGCCTGCAGTCCCCATCGCACGAGCTCCCCCGTCAGGGTTGAGCGCCGGGCATGAATCTTGAAACTTCCCAAGGTGGCAGTGGAGTGGGGGGGGGGGGCGGACCTGAAATGTTAGGGTTTAAAAAAACGATAGGTCTCGACACTCATAAAAAACAATCAGGGTATCTTTCTTCTGGGGGGAAGGCAATTTTCCCCACCCTGTCCTTGGATTTGCCACCGTATCTCCTTGCCACTGCCCGATACACAAGCAGTATGGGGACTGGCACTGCAGGCTGATGCTTGTTACAAGCCGATGCTCAAATCACCCAGAATGCACCCAATCTCGTTAGTTCAAGGTATCTGACCGAGCAGGGCCCAGACTGTGCTTGGATGGGCATCGGCCTCGCATCGGGGATTGCTTATATACATACAGTGAGGGAAAAAAGTATTTTATCCCCTGCTGAATTTGTACGTTTGCCCACTGACAAAGAAATGATCAGTCTATAATTTTAATGGTAGGTTTATTTGAACAGTGAGAGACAGAATAACAACAAAAATCCAGAAAAACGCATGTCGAAAATGTTCTAAATTGATTTGCATTTTAATGAGGGAAATAAATACTTGACCCCTCTGCAAAACATGACTTAGTATTTGGTGGCAAAACCCTTGTTGGCAATCACAGAGGTCAGACGATTTTTGTTGTTATTCTGTCTCTCACTGTTCAAATAAACCTACCATTAAAATTATAGACTGATCATTTCTTTGTCAGTGGGCAAACGTACAAAATCAGCAGGGCATCAAATACTTTTTTCCCTCACTGTACACTCCACACATGTCTGTACAACCTACTTGATGCTTCATGTTAATTTAAAAGGAATGGTCCCATGGACGCAGTAAGCGCAGTCCCTCATCTCCCTCCTCACCTTGTCCCTGCGCACGGCATTGTGCACTCAATCTCTTGACTGGCAGATGGCAGTGAGGTGGTCGTTGCAGAGGTTTTTTTTTCACTGGTTTAAAACATTTGTGCTTGCTCTCCAGGTCAAAGTTAGCTCATTTCCTCTCAAAAAGCCACGTTGCATTTTGGAAGGATTTTTTTCTTGCAAATGTTTGGTGGATCATTCATCCTTGTGCTACTTTTTGTTCTCGCGTTATAAGCGGTATAAAGTTAGAGTGGACATCTTTCAGTAAAATCCAGAGTACTGTGATAACGATTAAGACGATGATGATGATGATGATGATTTCAACAACTGTGCAGCTTTTGCGACGGTGGACGTGACGGCGGTTGTTGAGGCCGACGGTGCGGCCACGCCGCCCCCGGTGACCCCGGCCGCGCTGACCCTGCCGAGCCGCGTGGCCATGGTGCGCGGCGTGGCCGTCCTCTACGTCGACGAGAAGGCCCAGGAGGACGGCCAAGCCTGGGCCCTGCCCTGCGACGCGACCATCGGCCTGTCCTCCCACCTCAGCGACCTGGGAGTGCTGCTCGGTCTTGTGCAGGATGGGCCCCTGTGAGTCACCCCGTGACCCTCTCTCTGTGTACCAATCTTGTTTGTCAGTAATCTTTTATTTTACCAGCACACACCCTTGAGATGCACGTAGCAATTCCCACAGGGTTTTGTCAAGATGGCAGCAGTGTATCAGTTCCGATTAAATTTTTTGAAAAGAGAATGAAATTATTCCAGGAACAAAAACTATGTAAGAATAAAAACAACCTCGTAAAAAAATGCGAATAAAATAAATACCGTATAAAATGATACACATTTTAAAATGTGTAATGATATCATGTTTAATCGATGTTTAAAGACGTTACCCGATTGAGTCCCATACTGAACCGGTTCCTGTCGGAGGAAACGGTTGTTTAATCGTACTTAAAAGTGTGACATGATTCACAAGAGTAGGTTATTATTTTTTGGGTGTCAGGTCTAAAATGTTGACAATCTTACTAAAATGCAAAACGTGAACGGCCCCCTTTATAGTCCATTTGTAAGAAATAGTTATTCAGTGTTAAGAATGTCCCTCCTCGGCCAAAGCAACACAAGGGTATAGAAAAACACTCCTGAATGAAGGATTTTCCATGACAGCGCACTCGGTTTTAAATTAATTGGTACAACCATTGCATCACCAGTCATCGTTATATGTTTTGAGGGCATGTGGGTGGCAGGGTAGGGAATGGCAAAACATCCGGCCTCAGCAGTGACTCGATGCTTTCGCGGTGTCCAGGGCCACATGCTGCATGGCTGCTCTGGGGTCAGCTTCCGCTCTGATATCACCGTGGGTCACGCTACAGCAAGTTGAGCAACCAGTCCACTTCCCTAAGCCCGTTGTGAAATCTATCTGGCTTCAAGCTATACCATGACTTCGCTCGAGTGCCAGTGCACCTGCAGGATATGCAGACTGTGCGGAATGGGAACGGCACCCCGTGCTGAAACGCCTGCAGCCCCGACGCCGCATGTGCATATGCATGTTGAACTTCTTTTGCACCGTACGTAGCCAACCGTGCCAATCGGAGGTACAGGGTGAAGGACAACAAACTACATACAAAAAGCGGTTCTAAAGAAATGAGTCTTCATTCTTAATGATTTAGAAGTGCATAGCTCCAGTGGCTTCCTAATATCGGAAGGAGAAGCGTTCCAGACGGCCGCAGGAACGCATCTGAAAGCGCGCGATGCGGCGGCCGTCTTTGTTTGATGGCTAGCAGCCAAGAGCCAATGCTGCGAGGATGACTGGAGTTCGCGCGATGGTGGTTTGTGCCCCTTGATGAGATCAGCGAGGTACGACGAGATCACTTGACTTGTGCTGCACTGCCATGGGGCTTGATGTTCGGAGACGTTTCTCTCCTTCCCCTAACACCGTGTGGGGGGCCCGTTGTGTCTGCGTGTTTGTGTCGCAGCAAGACATTCTGCCAGCGACGCCTCAAGCTCCTGGCCGCCAAGTTTCAGGTTCATCAGATGACGAACGAGTTGGCCGAGATGATACAGCTCAAGGTGGACGGCTGCCGCGACTTTGAGAACGTGGTGAAGGTACGGTGCCCACCCTCTCGTGGTCTTGTACTTTGGTGCAGGCCGCACAACTGCATCATAGCCCAAAGGCCGGAGAGGCTCAGGCACCGGGCTACCAAGAGAGGAGCGAATATGAACAGGGGGAGGGGGAATTGAATCCCTTGCACCAGGGCCAATGCTGAGCACACACCATCACTGATGTCGAGGCCGTCCATACCCACCTGGCACTCATCTTGAGCAGTCGCATTTTTTGTGTGTGGGCTAGGTGGGAGCGGTGGCGCAGTGGTGAGTGCTTTGAACCCAACGGCCCGCGTTTGATTCCCGCTCACGGCCAACATCGGTGGCAAATATCTGCACCGATCGCGAACCTCCCCTAGGTTGACGCCTCAGCCTTAAATGAATACAGCACCTCGTTTATGGCTGGCTGCACACCACGCTCTCGTGCGCCATGCCAGCCTTCATTAGGTGTTTGCAAAAGCGCTTGCCCCAACGGCCTGTGTAGGCTACACGGGCGATCATTCTTCGCCTTTGTCTCTGCTGTGGGGCAGGTGGACACGCACATCCACGCGGCGGCGTGCATGACAGCGCGGGAGCTACTGCAGATGATGCGGAGCGCGCGCGAGGAGGGCGTCCCTGTGTCGCGCGGTCCCGACGGTCGCGAGCTCACGCTGGCCGAGCTCTTTGCGCAGCTGCACCTTCGCAGCGACTCCATCGACCTGGACAACCTGGACGTGCACGTGGTGCGGTACACATGCGCACAGACGGTAGCCTCTCCTGAAAAGTTGTTGTTTAATTAATGAGCGATCAACAAACTGTTTAATCAGGAGTGGCGACGTGGCCGTGCGGCAGAGCGTTTGCCGCTTTGTTGCAGACGTTTCACGGTTCTCGCCCCGCAGTCACCCTGGTTAAAATTGGTTAAGTGTAAATAAATGTTATTGAATTGTTGAATTTAACCATCTTTTATATGGTGGGGGAGTTGATGAGCAACGTTGCGCTCGAGGGAAATCACGGAACCGCGGCGACGGCTGGTGTGTCTCGCGCAGGACCGCGACACGTTCCAGCGTTTCGACCGCTTCAACGACAAGTACAACCCGCTGGGCTCCAGCGAGCTGCGCAACGTCTTCCTCAAGACCAACAACCACATGAGCGGAAAATACTTTGCGATGCTCGTGAAGGCACGGAGACACACGCACACTCGCACACACGACACCACAGGTGACGCACGCGAAGACGCATCGTCTTGACAATGAGACATTTCGGCAGTAGTAGCCCGTGGCCAAATCACCTGTAGTGTACCCGTGGGCTGATAAACGCCTGTTATATATTTTTTATTATTGATTTTAAAAAAGAAGTGGGCTTGGGCAGGGCACAATCCTAGAAGGGAATGTGTCCATGGAGCACCAGGCTGTGGATGTACAAGCAGCAAGTACACGATCGCACGCACACCAACACAGATGCGCACACACACCCTCTCTCTTACTCACCCGTCGATGCTGTGGTATCAACTAAGTAACCCAGCGATAGAGTGAGCGGCTCGCAATCAGAAGGTCGCGAGTTCAAATCCTGGGAGGGGTTGACTCAGCCCATCATCTTTCCTCTGCGGTTAATGAAACGAGCAACACTCTGTGGGGAATTGAACTGTGCTTGTCCTGTGGATAGACTCGCCCCCGCCATGACAATTAGAAATTGTCCACCAACAGCTCGGGGCTCTAGGATGAGCACCAATGCCTCGGTGTCCGCTGGAGCAGGAAATCGCTTTGACTTACTCTTTTTTTTTTTTACCGTCTCTCTTGGTGCGGGGCCACGCTGCAGAATGTGGGCCGGCGGCTGGAGGCAAGCCGCTACCAGTACGCGGAGCCACGCATGTCAGTGTACGGCCGCTCGCGGGGGGACTGGGAAAAGCTGGCCGGCTGGTTCGAGCAGCACCAGGTGTACTCGCCTCACCTGCGCTGGGTCATCCAGGTCCCGCGCATCTAGTACGTCCGCTCGCTCGTCGACTCTCACAGCGAACATGAAGTAACTTTATAATGATACTAAAAACACAATCAATACGCGCATGATTCGCTAATCGGACGCAATGTTCGATCGAGAACTCGGGAGGTGCCAGAGTCAAGAGGTCGACGTCCCTTGTATGCAGCCTCAACAGGTGAGAGCCTGAACGGGTGAGCCAAAATGAGTGACTGCCTGAACAGGTGAGATCCTGAACAGGTGAGGAGAGTCTTGAGCTGTCGCTTGAAAGCAAATTCGTGCTTGGATGCTGTGCATTTGCAGTGGCACAGCGTTCTAGCGTGGCTGGTGCCATGATAATGAGCGCCACCTAAAGAGGAGAAGAACACAGCCTCGATGCTCTTTTGAGTACGAAATAACGTTTCACTTCAAGATACAACACTTTCTTTGCGTTGATGAGAATGATGGGAAAACCCATCACAGCAAGAGAATGTGTGCAGGTTGGAGACAATTTTATTTAACAGCGCAAGGCGTGCTGCTCACAAACAGCAGGGGAAGGCAGGACTCCCATCCACAAGCCTTGCATGCATGCTACGTGGCCACCATATTGCATGTACGATGCTCTCAGCCATGTCTCAGATCCCAGTGCAATATGCAGAATTGGACTCGTGTAAAAAGAAAAGGTGCAGTCCTATAATTTCTAACTCATGCCACTGCTCAGTCCCTCTCGTGAGTGGCCTCGTTTCTTCGGAGGCTCGACAACTTAGAAGAGGTGAGAGTACCCACACTTTTGCCCACCACATGTGACCTACGGATCGACTTCCTCTGGTGTACCCATTTATAATTGCTGCGTGGACAGTCGGTGGGGAATTAACTTGCAACATCCTTTCAACTCCGGCGACCTCTGGACTACAGGAAAGGAACCCTATTTCTGTTGTCTGTGAATATCGTACCTGTTTTTTTTAAATGTAGCCGACAGGCCACTTAATGCTTTGCGAGGAAATTGTGTCCGTCCGTCCATCTGTACGTGGGCACTGCACGTGTTTCTACAATAATACAAAACCCCTAAACAAAATAATAAACTCACCACGGCTCACCAGTACCAATGCCCAGATCTCCGTATATTTTGTCCAACATTGGCAATAAAATACCATTAAAGACTATATTAATATAACAATAAATATATATAACATCATGCTGCATTTCTTATAATGGCATTTTAGTACAGGCATGACACGTCCGTCCGTTGGTACTTGTGTGTGCGTGTTTCCACGCAAAAATTTTTGTTTGGGATTTGAATCCCTGGTAAAACGGCAGGCTCCTATAATGCACTGGCTTGCCGGCTTGTTTTTTTAAAGATGTTTCTTGTTCATGTTTTCGTTTTGTTGCGGTTGCACCCGAGTCGAGATCCGCATGGCTCACAGGGTTATACCTAAATAAATGGAACTGGAAAAACTGAAAAAAACTGCATCATTCACCTCTCGCTGTGATCGCTCGCAGTCACATTTTCCGCACGAGAAACATCATCCCGAGTTTCGGGGTGATGCTGGAGAACATCTTTCTGCCGTTGTTCGAGGTGACCCTCAACCCGGACTCCAACCCGACCCTGCACAACTTCCTCCAGCACGTACGTGCCTCCTCCTCCTCCGCTGCAGCAGCAGCGGCGGTGGCGATGCGTAGCGGTGAAGAGAAAATCCACTTGGCTCCAGGCCGATGCATTAGACCCCCGTAACCAAACCCTATTTACTGCCGTAGAGTTCTGTTACAAGTGACCGTTATCAATCATTTCCATTGACAGCTCATTACAAAAGTGACTGCCATTACATTCCAAAAACAGCTGTTGTTAGTTACTGCTCGGGATGAGTTTCGAATTTAAAAAAGGATAACTTAAGGGTTGTTGAATTTTCAGGTCATGTACAAATACATAAAAGTATATATTTCAAGGTCATCCAAATATTCATATATCGGCCTTATTTTTAGATTATTCAAATGAATATGAATCGTATTCGTTTATTATATATTTATAATTATTTTAATGGGGGCCCTGCCAAGTTCTCGCAGTAGAGGGGCAATGTTGTTGTGTGTAATCTCAATTGCGATGTTTGCAGGACATTTCTCAGGATTGGGATATTTTTGTCACTGCTAATGGCATTGTGTGTTCTTTTACTTATGGGAACGAAATCCATGCAGAGCAGGGGGAAAGCATATACAAACTCCGCACAGAAAGTTTCCCGGTTGGGAATCGAACCCGGGCCCCTCTCAGCGCGAGGAACAATCGTTACCACTGCTCCACCATCCCGCTACGCAACAAGTCTCCCATTTCGCTCGTGAACCGCAGGTGACGGGGTTCGACTCGGTGAGCGACGAGTCGTTGGCCGAGGGGCTGTTCCTGCCGGACAGCCCGGCCCCCGAGGAGTGGACGAGCGCGGAGAACCCTCCGTACGCCTACTACGTCTACTACATGTTCGCCAACGTGGCCGTGCTCAACCAGCTGCGCAGGTGAGCGGCGCTGTTTGGGCGACAGGGTCACGTGCGGCAGGTGCAGGCGGGAGGTGGGGGGGCGCGGGGGAGGTGAAACGGGGATGCGAGCGTGCACACTTACTGCACAAAAACACAAAAGGCACAGGTCCCCCAGGTAGCCATTACAGACTGGTGGGGCAGGTGCTGTAAGCAAGATCTTGTTCAGATTTCAGCAGGAAGGGTCCAAGAAGCGTCCTGCAACGGTAAATGTCATACAGTATGGATCTTAGTTACCATCGTGGTTACATAGGTCATGTTACAAACCGCAAGTAGCGGTACATGTGCTTTACAGGTTACAGGAATAGGGAACTGATTGAAAATGTAAAACAAACATTCTAAATGATGACTATATTCATTCATGAACAAAAAATTAATGAAAATAAAAAGTCGTCACGAAGCATGACAGGACGGGTTAGGACAGCTTCACGCCCAGCCGCCTTTGTGCTGATGTTTAAACACCGCACCTGGGATTCATTCAGTTCTAAATACGACACCACCATACAGGTCACCATACATCAATAGGGATCACGTGTACGCAGACAATAACAGGCACTGCTATTTTATTGCACGCAAACGACAGGAATAATGTACGCTGATTACCATATTAATAATCCCAACCGGCAATGGATACCCATTGCAATTTTTATGGGGGTGGAGTGTCCGATGGTATAAAATACCCAGGCAGGTGCTTAGTTTTGGTGGGGGCTGATGGTAAGGCCCCATCTCTTAGTGGCACGCTCCAGTCTCAGCAGCGTCTCCAACTCCTCTGAATGAGCAGCTATTACCAAAGCAAAATAATAAGCACACACATACACACACACATGTATAGATGATGTATGCTCATACATGACCCCTACTGCTGCTGTGCGAACAGACAGTGCAACATGAACACGTTTGTGTTCCGGCCGCACTGTGGCGAGGCTGGCTCTGTCGCACACTTGGCTGACTCCTTCCTCACCTCCGACAACATCTCACACGGCATCAACCTCAGCAAGGTCAGGACCACCCCACAATCCACCTCCGAGGAACAAGCAGGTCACTGTCGCAAACGAGACTCATGCCGGTTCTCACCTGGTTAAACAATATCAACTCCACTCGAAGTTTTAATTTCTCTTGGAAACGAGTTTAAAATCATTGTTCATAGTTCAATTTATTTGGTATAGCCCTGTGAGCCATTCGGCTCTTGAATCGGGTGCAACCGCAACAAACAAAAAACAAAAACATGAACAAGAAAACATCTTAAAGTGATTATGTGCATGTGCAAACAGAAAATCCAGGAAAAAAACATAAAAATATTCCTGAAATAGCACCGTACACCACCGCTGTGTGCAAAAATCCCAGTGGGATGCAAGTCAAACAACAACAACAACCACAAGACAACTAATATTAAGGCCATCAGTCTAACTCCGTACTACAATAAATAAAAACAAGGCCAAACCAAAACACGTTTTAGAAATCACCAAAATAAAGCCATAAATGCAATGTAACAGTGATCATATGGACTGTGACCGAATTTTTTTACAATAAACTACATACTAATGCCACTTCAAAGCGATCGATGTACAAAAATACACAATGGTTTTGTTGTACTCTCTGAAAACTTCTGCACAGTCTTTTGGTTAACCAGGTGTTGAAGAAAAGCACCTTGCGCACATCAAATTTATCTGCACACTTGTCCACACGAATCTGTGTGGGTGGACAGCTGTCAAGAACGATGTGACGGGGCATTAGGACATTGACGTGCAATTTGGACAACAACACACCGCACGCTCAGGACGAATCTACCCCTGCTCACGAAGCTCTCGCTGCTCACCACTGAGATCATATCAGGCAGACGTGCTTCACCGACTTGGTCGAGACCTCGCCTCTCGCTGGATACATCAGTTGCTCCGTGCCCGCTCCTGCCAATAAGACTTGGGACGAGGTCATAAGCAGAGGTCATTGCGGACCGACGCAAACGGACCCCAGCTATCCGAGCGAACTGACGGATGGATTGTCCACCCGCTGTCCTCCGCCCCTCCCCCCCGTCGCAGAGTCCCGTGCTACAGTACCTGTACTACCTGTGCCAGATCCCCATCGCCATGTCGCCCATCAGCAACAACAGCCTCTTCCTCGAGTACTCCCGCAACCCTTTCCTCGACTTCTACCACAAGGGCCTCACGGTCTCCCTGTCCTCGGATGACCCCCTGCAGTTCCACTTCACGCAGGTGACGCACGGGGCCGCCCCTGGGTCTTACAGATGTTACAGCTCTTGCCGGAGAAACCAGAGGCAATTACGGCCTAGTCACTCAAGAATCGTAAACAAACCAACATTCGGTAACATTTGCAAAATTGTAATGGTTGCCAGCTGATGGAAATGTTCGTGTTTTGATTTAAAGCTTTCGTGACTGCAGTAATTCATATTCTTAGTTTTTTTCGGTAAAGTCACGTTGAAGAGAAACAACAAAATAATAAAATATATATAAAACAATAAAAATATATTGTTTCTCTTCAACGTGACTTTACAGAAAAAAACTAAGAAATGTTCGTGTTCTTCACTAATTTTCAGTGTGGAGGGCCGCCACACCGCCTGCAAGGGATGCCATTAGTGTGTTGTCGGGGGCTGCACGTCAGGGGCCGCACGAAAGGCCACCAGGGGCCACCAGTGGCCTGCGAACACTGGCCTATGTGATTGATGAAAATAAATATACGCACAACTGTATTCTGTGCCGCCACACGCAAATACACCTTTAGTCCATCGGCCTATTGCCTTTCCAAACCACTTTTATCCACGGCAGCAATGAACAGCAGGGAGCGTCCCAAATGGTAATGAGCTTTACAAAGTGGCCCAGGCGGTGATGAGCGGCATAACGATAAATTAACGCAACAAGTGGCCTGGATGGTAACGACGAACCGCACGAGGATAAGGGAGCCAGGGGGCGGTTACAAGCTTGAGCGAGATCAGCCCAAGCGGTAATGACGAGGGTGTGGGGTGCGTGAGCAGGAGGCGCTGGTGGAGGAGTATGCAACGGCGGCGCACTTCTGGAAGCTGAGCACGTGCGACCTGTGCGAGATCGCCAGCAACAGCGTGCGGCAGAGCGGCCTCTCCCACATGGTAACCGCAGCGGCACAGCAGCCCCGCACAGAGCAGCACGTGGCGCAGCAGCTCAGCAAATGGCAGCACGTGGCACAGCAGTCCCCCACACAGAACAGCACATTCAGTACAATCCCAAAAAAATGTGTTTTGGAATGGATCCGAAAATTTGATGTCACAGGAAGGGCTTTTTGGGCCTTTGGACCTTTGGGGCCTCTGCTCAGCGACCGTGATATACTGTACTGTACACGTAAAGACACCTGCTGTTGACGCCGTGCAGGAAAAGCGCGAGTTCCTGGGCGACAAGTACCTGGAGGAGGGGCCCGAAGGGAACGACGCCACCAAGAGCAACGTGGCACCCATCCGCGTGGCGTTCCGCCACGAGACGCTGTGTCAGGAGCTGGAGCTGCTGACCAAGGCCAGCCCTTCCTCACCCCCGTGAAGCCCGGTTGGGGAGGTGGGCCGTGATCACGTTTTGCGGTGTAAGACTGCCAGCAGGGCCTCTCATTCGCCTCCTTACATTTCCTAAACGAGCGCCCGGACATGTCTACGATTTCCACAAGGCATTGGAGGTAAATGAGATATGGGAAGGACTGTAGTGATTCTGCCTTATTATCAATGAAACAAGAGGGGCAACTTTAATAATTCTATTTTATTTAGATTAATTCGTGCAAATGCCTTCTCTAAACACTGAACATTGAACCACATTAAACATCAAAACTGGTACGATGCACCACAGAGACACATCACGGACACGATACAGGGTACGGAGGTGAACACAACACGGAGCTGATGGGGTGAGAGCAAACAGTCAAGCTCCCGACATTATAAAAAGTCCAGAGAATAATGAGGACAATAATAATTTAATTTTATACAGCGTAATGCTTATTACAGGAATTGTATGTATTTACGTAAATAATGTAACATTGTTTTAACACGTTGTGATTTGAATAACAATACTTTCTAACGATAAATACATTGCATTGAACTCGTACACTTAAGTCTAACAACTTATCGTAACAAAGATGTCTCCATCTATGCAGACAAGGTAGCGTGGGCCAGGATTAAATACCTAGCACTTGGCAAAATAAATCAAAGCTACAGTCAGAAATGTACACGCGGTGTCTACTTCATGTGGGTCCCCTCGTCTCCGCAGCACTGAACTATGGGTATTTGCCACCCGCTCTTGATAGTACCTGGCACCAAGATGTCCACGCAGCCAAGGAAAGCGTCAGCAAAAAATTGTTGTTGCACTGAACTATGACCCCATTGATCACAGTCATATCAACGCGTATGTTGTGCATCATCATAGCTGAAATCTGTGGGCGATTTGGGCCTGCCCTATGCTGTTTGCCAGCGTCACCGTTCTTCAAATGTGACAAATTTAACAAAAAATACCCGCAAATCGGTGAATTGGAAACGCATATCAGCATTGTCCCCTACTGCGAACCGTCTGTGGAACGTAGCACCTTCTTTCGTGACTGTCTTGCGTGATAAAATGGCGCAAATACAATCATTTTTGTTTACCGAGCCTTTAGGCTTATCTGGTGGAGTGTGTGAGCATCAGCATTGCTGGTTCTTGCGCCGACAACACACGTGCCTTGCCCACCTAAATAATAGGTCCTAAGTGAGTTCACTCACTCTCCCAAACCTTCACTCCCCATTCACATGAACAGCAACTCCCTCTCATCAATGGCACTTAGGTCTACCCAGGTTATCTCTGCATTCGCATATCCTGGACAACGTTTAGAATAATACAACGTATTCCAGTTAAATAATTCGTTAACCGTACACGTGTTAGGCTAACAACGCTCAGCGCTTGCAAACCATGTATTGAGACTGTTGAATAATACACAAATAAAGTGCAGCTTGTGCAGCGGTGTGTGGGCTGGAATCATGTCTTGTGTGTACTGGCGAAGTGCATCTCCATTCTCTTCTAGATCTGAGTGCACACCTCTCCTCTATTACGAGCACAGTACTGTGACCAGCATACGCCGGGGCTCTGGAGGGGTTGTGGAGATGGCCAGGGAGGGGATTTAGTGGAGAACTTGGGACCAGAAGAGCAGACTCCACGTGTGGTGAGGGAAATACCAAGATGAAGAACAATGTTACTCATAAGATCAATACAGTGAGGGAAAAAAAGTATTTGATCCCCTGCTGATTTTGTACGTTTGCCCACTGATAAAGAAATGATCAGTCTATAATTTTAATGGTAGGTTTATTTGAACAGTGAGAGAATAACAGCAAAAAAATCCAGAAAAGCGCATGTCAAAAATGTTATAAATTGATTTTCACTTTAATGAGGGAAATAAGTATTTGACCCCCTCTCAATCATAAAGATTTCTGGCTCCCAGGTGTCTTTTATACAGATAACGAGCTGAGATTAGGAGCACACTCTTAAAGGGAGTGCTCCTAATCTCAGCTTGTTACCTGTATAAAAGACACCTGTCCACAGAAGCAATCAATCAGATTCCAAACTCCACCATGGCCAAGACCAAAGAGCTCTCCAAGAATGTCAGGGACAAGATTGTAGACCTACACAAGGCTGGAATGGGCTACAAGACCATTGCCAAGCAGCTTGGTGAGAAGGTGACAACAGTTGGTGCGATTATTCGCAAATGGAAGAAACACAAAAGAACTGTCAATCTCCCTCGGCCTGGGGCTCCATGCAAGATCTCACCTCGTGGAGTTGCAATGATCATGAGAACGGTGAGGAATCAGGCCAGGACTACACGGGAGGATCTTGTCAATGATCTCAAGGCAGCTGGGACCATAGTCACCAAGAAACCAATTGGTAACACTACGCCGTGAAGGACTGAAATCCTGCAGCGCCCGCAAGTTCCCCCTGCTCAAGAAAGCACATATATACATGCCCGTCTGAAGTTTGCCAATGAACATCTGAATGATTCAGAGGACAACTGGGTGAAAGTGTTGTGGTCAGATGAAACCAAAATGGAGCTCTTTGGCATCAACTCAACTCGCTGTATTTGGAGGAGAAATGCTGCCTATGACCCCAAGAACACCATCCCCACCGTCAAACATGGAGGTGGAAACATGCTTTGGGGGTGTTTTTCTGCTAAGGGGACAGGACAACTTCACCGCATCAAAGGGACGATGGACGGGGCCATGTACCGTCAAATCTTGGGTGAGAACCTCCTTCCCTCAGCCAGGGCATTGAAAATGGGTCCTGGATGGGTATTCCAGCATGACAATGACCCAAAACACACGGCCAAGGCAACAAAGGAGTGGCTCAAGAAGAAGCACATTAAGGTCTGGAGTGGCCTAGCCAGTCTCCAGACCTTAATCCCATAGAAAATCTGTGGAGGGAGCTGAAGGTTCGAGTTGCCAAACGTCAGCCTCGAAACATTAATGACTTGGAAAAGCTCTGCAAAGAAGAGTGGGACAAAATCCCTCCTGAGATGTGTGCAAACCTGGTGGCCAACTACAAGAAACGTCTGACCTCTGTGATTGCCAACAAGGGTTTTGCCACCAAGTACTAAGTCATGTTTTGCAGAGGGGTCAAATACTTATTTCCCTCATTATAATGCAAATCAATTTATAACATTTTTGACATGCGTTTTTCTGGATTTTTTTGTTGTTATTCTGTCTCTCACTGTTCAAATAAACCTACCATTAAAATTATAGACTGATCATTTCTTTGTCAGTGGGCAAACGTACAAAATCAGCAGGGGATCAAATACTTTTTTTTCCCTCACTGTAGTTGTTGTTCTGCGAATATACTCGTCCCCGTCCCGTGAATGTGGAATTTATTGTTGTGGTTGTCCCACCTGATGACGATTGCTTGTGGTGCGATCGAAACGTCGTGGTCCATTATTTTTCTACCTACGTGACTTTACAGAAAGAGCCAAAGAGTATGGATTCCTGCAGTCACGAAAGCATAAAATCAAGATAGAACTGAATCAGAATACTGGAGGAATCCGATGAGCTATAAAGCTCTTTTTTCACAAATGTCCAGGAGGGGCAGGTCAGAATGTTACAACACATACAAAAATACGATAGGAATGCAAAGTATAGGAAATGTAAACAAATCATTTAATAAGATACAAATAAAACTAAACTATTTTTTTCTCTCACGGGATAAAGCCCACTGAGCTCTGAGCTCTTTCAAAAGCGATCTGGCCATCACAAACGATAGCTCAAGTGGCTTATCACGTGGCAATCTATAGCAGCCAAATCATCTAAACAACCCCAACGCGTGATGTCCATTCTAAACGCGGAGGCAAAACTTCTGCCCAATCCCGCCAGGCCCATTGTAAACTCTACGCCAGTGACTTTAACCTCGGGTTCATCCACGCATCCCCCTGGCTTGGTGCGAGATGCCCTTTCTGGGGGTGCGAGACACGGCCAGACTTTTTTTTAAGGTAAATCATCGAAAGACAAATTAAGCAGGGGCACGTAAGTTACACCGACTTTGTTTCATCAAATCAATCCGATGCATTTATTAACGTTCTACATTTTTTGACGATCGAGGTCCAAAGGGGGGGTGGGGGTGCAAAGGCCGCAATCAAGGTGATAAGAACCACGTGCTCTACGCCATGCAATTAGAATTGGCGTTGTGATTATTCTAGAATTATTTCGGTAAAGTCACATTGTTGCCATCATATCCGCAACCCCAGCTTCCCAAGCCTCCCACTTCCCCCCTCCCCCTACCCCCCCTACCCCCCCCTTCTCTCTCCCCCCTTGCTCCTCCCCCCTTTCTTACCTATATAACCTCTTACCACGGCAGCTCTCTCGCCCACTTCAACAAGTGTTTTTTTCTTGCTGCGGTTGTCCCACCTGATGACGGACGCTTGTGTTGCGCCCGAAACGTCGTGATTTTATTTTATTTTACACCTACGTGACTTTACCGAAAGAACCAGAGAATTGTGGTTATTGTACAACGCGAGTCGGTGTGTGGGGGGGGGGGGTGGGCAGAGATTGGGGGGCCGGGCTACGGGATGAGGGTGCGTCGCTTTGTGACGTTCACAGTTCGAGAATCGTCCACGGCGTACCGAGCCGGGCCCTATGGGGGCCATCCATTTAGTGCGTTCGCATGGAGGGGCGAAAAAAGTGTTAATCCAAATGCGCACGCTTGCGTATGGGGGGGGGGTCTACTGACAATGTACGCATAGGAAACGATAGGGGGGGGGGGTGAAGCCTCGATAATAATTAACACCCCCGCTCCCCCCTCCATGCGAACACACTAATGAGTTATAGTCCCGCGTTGGACTATATCTGTTTGCTTAAACACGTTAATATTATTAATCCTTGATCGTTTGCGTGGATTAAATATCGGCCGTTCCGTAGGAATCGGGGGGGGGGGTGTAAAAAGTTCGCGTGCGTACAGGGTAGGGGCCAAGTTTGACAGATTTTTGCGTACCCACTAAATCAGGGGTCGGGAACCTATGGCTCGCGAGCCAGATGTGGCTCTTTTGATGATTGCATATGGCTCGCAGATAAAACAAAATATTCTCACTTGTTTTAATCCATCCATCGATTTTTCACTGCGCATGTCCTGTTCAGGGCTGCAGGAGCAATTGTCCATTATTTTAATTGGATGATACTGGCCTACGTTTGCCGTTGCTGGGTAAAACAGGTAAACGCCCCCTTTTGAATCAGTCTGAGACTGCGTCTGCTCGGTCATTAGCTCAAAGCTAACCCTTCGACGAAGAAGATGGCGAAAAGAAAAAAAGACGACGAGTATCGTACATTTCAGGACGAATGGACCGAAGAATTCGCCTTTGTGGAGAGAGCGGGTTCTGCGGTGTGTCTAATTTTCAATGACAAAATTACATCGTTGAAACGGTCGAATGTAAAGCGGCACTTCGACACGCGCCACGCTACCTTTGCATCAAAATACCCTGCGGGAGACAGCAGAAAGAAAGCGTGCCAAGAGCTTCTGAGCAGGGTGCAAGCTAGCCAGCAGCAACTCCGCGTATGGACCCGGCAAGGTGACTATAATTCGGCTAGCTTTGCTGGTTCTTTAGCAATAGTGAGGAACGGAAAACCATTCACAGATGGCGAGTATGCTAAAACGTTCATGCTGGATGTAGCCAATGAACTTTTTGATGATCTTCCGAACAAAGACAAGATAATCAAACGGATACAAGACATGCCTCTGTCGGCAAGAACTGTTCATGATCGTACCATCGTGATGGCAAACAAAGTGGAGGAAACGCAAGTGAAGGACATAAATGCAGCGCCGTTCTTTTCTCTGGCTTTGGATGAGTCAACAGACGTGAGCCATTTGTCGCAGTTCAGCGTGATTGCAAGATATGCTGTTGGTGACACACTGCGCGAAGAAAGTCTTGCTGTTCTGCCATTAAAAGGGTCCACAAGAGGTGAGGATTTATTCAAGTATTTCATGGAGTTTGCTCAAGAAAAAAGTCTACCTATGGATAAACTTCTCTCAGTGTGTACTGATGGTGCTCCGTGTATGGTGGGGAAAAACAAAGGATTTGTGGCGCTTCTCCGTGAACATGAAAATAGACCCATCCTAAGTTTCCATTGCATTATACACCAGGAGGCACTTTGTGCTCAGATGTGTGACAGGCAGTTTGGCGAAGTGATGTCGCTGGTCATTCGTGTGATCAACTTTATTGTTGCCCGAGCCTTAAATGATCGCCAGTTTAAAACACTGCTGGATGAAGTTGTAAATAACTATCCTGGTCTGCTTTTGCACAGCAATGTGCGTTGGTTGTCAAGAGGGAAGGTGCTTAGCCGTTTTGCGGCTTGCCTGAACGAAATCCGGACTTTCCTTGAAATGAAAGGCGTCGGGCATCCTGAGCTAGCCGACTCCGAGTGGCTCCTCAAGTTTTACTATCTCGTAGATCTGACTGAACATCTGAACCAGCTCAACGTGAAAATGCAAGGCAT